GTTCTTTTTGTATCTCTTTACAGAACAATGACTTTTAGGAGTTCTTAACATGCAAGTGGGTGATTATTATTATTTTTTTTTTATCATGTTTTAATATGCGTTTTTTCTTCCCGGCCCTTTGTTTAAAGGTATGCTGTCTCATCAGCTAAAGCAACACATCATCGATGGAGAGAAGACCATCATTCAGAACCCGTCAGACCAGCAAAGGTACATTTAGTAATTTTTTTGTACAAAGAAGAAACAAAAAGAGATCTGAGGCTGTGAATCATCCTAAATATTAATTAACCGTACCAATCAATACCAAGAGTATGAATGTACAAAACTGTTAACCATTTGTTTTCACTGGCTGCTGTTTATTTTCAGAAAGGACCATGAGAAGGCGGAGTTCGAGGTACATGAAGTCTATGCTGTGGACGTCTTGATTAGCACCGGAGAAGGGAAGGTCAGTGTGCTCTGTGGTTACTTAACCCATATCTGCAGAACGTGTAACTAAAAACTCTTTTTGTGTTCAAAACAGATACTTATAATGTTCACCTTCTGTCATTTAAAATTAGGCCAGAGATGCAGGTCTAAGGACCACCATTTATAAGAGGGACCCCAGTAAGCAGTACGGCTTGAAGATGAAAACTTCCCGTATGGTCTTCAGCGAGGTGGAACGACGCTTTGATGCCATGCCCTTTACTCTCCGGTATGAATCCAATTCTGTTTGTAACTACAAATATAGATGGGCAACCACCTGCTCATATTTTAAAAGGGATTGACAGGAAGTTGAGTATTAACCCTCTGAGCCCTTAAGCACACCAGCAGGTTTGAGAAGCATTTTTTCTTCAGAAATTTGACGAAATTATACCTATTCACACCCATAAACAGACAGATCCCGCTATCCTCACATTATTATGAATAACTCATTAAAATGTTGCCAATAAATAAACAATTTGCGCCAACCAGCCTAGTGCTACTTGGTTGCCTTGATTGACTTGGCTGAGAGGTATTAACAGGGTTCCCGTGGGGTCTTTAAAAGTCTTAAATATGATCAAAAAAATAAGAAAGGTCTTAAATATGATTTAGTAGGTCTTAAAAATGATCGGATTTGAAAGGTACTTCTGTGTTGCGATCACGTCTAACTGTGTTTTGGGGGAAATGTCCGGGCTGCAAAGTAACCAGTACGGTAATAGCCTTTCAGTTCCCCCCAACAATTTGTATTGAAATAAATCAAAAAGGAACCAGTAATCACTAACTTTGTATCCCCCCGGCCCCTTATCGGAGAACACCCAGCTAGTAACCTAGCAACCAAGCTTTGTGAACCGTTGCGCCAGTGTTATGCATTCCCGCCGAGATATGAATGCACCTCGCGGGAGCGCGCACAGCGTAAAGCAAAAACACACTTTCACGGTTAGGCAGTTCTGTGTGCTGTTATGTTCAGTCATCGTTCTTATGTTGAACGTGAATACATTTACTTTGAAAGTAATTATGGGACGTATTTCTTCTTTCATAGCAATTTTCCTTCATACTTTCTTGCTGTGAAATAGGTCTTAAATTCTATTCAAAGTTGTCTTAAAAAGTCTTACATTTGAGTTGGTGAAACCTGCAGGAACCCTGATTAAAGATGTACATATCGGTTAATGACTTTATCCTGTGGAGCCCTTTTAAAAAAAAAAAAAAACTAATATTAGTAACACTTGGAGTGCTCGGAAAAAACATCTTTATGTAATCATATATTCAACATTTTTGTAAAATGAATTATGAAAGAAATCCAACTAGAGTATTTTTGATAAATAAAAATGATTTCTGACCTATCTGTTGAACTGACGTTTTGGGATTTTGTTCTACTTCTAACAATGATTCAGCTGTTTCTAGAGGTGCAGGACTAATGTTGCAATATTGAAAACAATAGGCCAATATAAGTCAAACATTTCCCAGGAACAATAAAAGCCCTGAGACCGCGTGGGGTTCAGAGGGTCAAATATGTTTTGGCTTGAGCACTTTCTTTATTCCACCATTATTTTCAATCAGGGCGTTTGAGGATGAGGCCAAAGCCCGACTGGGTGTGGTGGAGTGTGCCAAACACGAACTGCTTCAGCCCTTCGGTGTGCTACACGAGAAAGAGGGTGAGTGTTCATGCTTCATGTTCAATGCTTTTGTTTTTTTGACAGCTTTACTTTTTATTTACGTCTCCTTCCTTCTGTGTCTTTGTTCTCAGGAGAGTGTGTAGCTCAGTTTAAGTTCACAGTGCTGCTGATGGCCAACGGGCCTCACAGAATCACCAACGGGCTCTTCGATCCCGAGCTCTATAAGTCAGAGCATGAGGTGCAGGACGCAGAGCTGAGGGTGAGATAGTTAACTCACTTCTATATGGCATACTTACAAGCTTCTTTGTCACACAGAAACTGCCTGCACTGAAGATCATATTTCTTTTTATACTAAAATGTCTCTGTCCTTTCCACCAGACTTTGTTAGAGAGTTCTGCAAGCCGTAAAACACAGAAGAAGAAGAAAAAGAAGGTCAATTATTTTTCTAACAAGGAACCCTCACCCCATTGACCTCGGTGTCTTTTTGCGTCCCCTCACTGATCTGTTCCTCTCTCTTTCACCCTCTACAGGCCTCAAAGACAGCAGAAACCGCAACTGGACAGCCAGCCGAGGAAACGGAAGCCGTAGAATAAATAAATACTGCCTTTCCACACACGGAGGACCCCAAAGAGAAGCGCGAGAAAACAACAAATTGCCCCAAACTCTCTGCCACCTTTTCTTTTCACAATTTCAACCGTGGAATTTTAGATCCTACATGGATGCTTAACCCTTTACTGCACTATTGAAAAATACTGTGTTGCTTTTTCTTCTCTAACCTCAGTAGGAAATAAACGATATTTGCAAATAGTTTTACATCTTTGCAAAGACTTGTTGCCAAATGTTATGTGTGCGACGGGTGTTTCTTTGTTGTTGTATTTTTAAATATGTTGTCCTCTTTGGTTTTATCATATGCATCTGAAAATGTTCTTTCAAGTTACACTGACTCTTACAGTGGGCGTAAATGGATCAGCTTTATTTTTTTAACATCCAACCAGCATTATTGGATACAGACAGATACGTGAATCAAATTCTTAAACTTAGTCTTCCTTTGTCTAAAAGAACACGTTTCTTTTTGGCCACGAAGTTACAAAAAGTTATGTAAACATTTTTGTATGTAAACAAAGAATCATAGTTATAATGAAATATTTCTATATTTTACTGGAAGCTCTCTGTCACCTTAAGTGTAAGATCAAGTGATGACGGTGAGTTTTTCATCCAGTTTATTGTGAATATAAACTTATTTTTTCTTAACTATATTATGCAGTAAAGGGTTAAATTATCAATTCAAACAAAACCATATCGACACTTGACAGTGAATTCATCAACTGTAATTGAAAAGTTGGTTTTTGTGTCAGAGTTAATGTAGTCAGGGTTATTAGTTAGTCTTCCATCATCTAGGCCTTACAACTTCTTTGGTTAAAACTACAATGTTTCAACCACTTGACTCTTAACACAAAGTATTACCTGAGCACAAGACTGTAAACAAGCAAAAAACATACCATATCAGTTTGACGTTGGGGGTCAAAACTGCTATATTTACTGCCATCCCCTTGAATTTTATGAAAAAATATATATACGTTCTAGTTTTGAAAACGTTTTTTCTATTGATGACATCTGCTCATTTCTTTACTACGTCATAAGCCTTGTGAAGAGTGAAAACTGAAGTGGGCCAACTTCGAAGGTTTTATGGGTCTCTTCAGTGGACCATTAAGATCCTTTAAGGTCTGAGTTTGATTTCAAGGTCTGGGTCTTGAAAGAAAGTAAAATCCTGCATTGTAGCTCAATCAGTGGGCAATGAACATCTAAGGAAATAAATACATTTTCATACATTTCTGTTGGGTTTTTGCTGTGTTTTGTCAAACTTCAGTATTGGAAAAAGGATTAGCCCTTTATATGTACTAATCTATTTGGGATAGAACTCGTAACATCTCAGTATGTATTAGGCCATGTTGGGTGATTATGGTAACATTATATATACATTTGATTTGACTTAACAAAAACCCACGGTTTCCTGTCTTTTTATATGATTGATTTTCCAACAAATTTACCAAAGAATGATCGCTAATGTCACAAATGTAACCTGCTTAGCATTATTTTAGTGTTTTGCATAAAATATAAGCATAGAAAACATTTAGTTGATAATACAATGATGACAGTGTACTTTATTCTTAACATTAAAAATAAAATAAAAAGTCAATCGTACATTGAAAAATAAACAGAGAAATTATAGGAAGCTGTAGATCAGCTGATGAGCCTTCAAATGTGATTAAAAGGAAGATAATAGTCTGGCACCTTGAAATAATAGTTGCATGAAAAGATCAAGAATAAACCTTATCTAATTTCTAAAGATTTTTATGTAATTATTTAGAAAATAAAATAAAACGTACAGGCATGGCCAAGGTTCAAGGTTCAAGGCTTTTATTAGTCATGGGTATAGCTGCAGTGAGTTATGAGGATGAGGTCTTAGGTCCCAGGCCAGCGCAGTTATTGCTGTCTGTATAATAATAATAGTTATTATTATAATAATAATAGTTATGAGTAATATTACTATAATTATTATTATAAGTAGAAGTATTTTAAAATAAATTAACAATTATAATAAGTGAATTCTCTAGTTAAATATGTAGGTGTAACCAGCGCCATATAGAGAGATTCTATTCTATTCTATTCTATTCTATTATACGGCTCTGGGTGTAGTTAAAACGTCAGCCTTTCAAAACAAGGCACAAGGTCTATTGATTCCACAAATATTATACTTGCTTTTGTGAAAGGTCCTGAAAGCTATTCCCAGTTTCAGCATATCGTTTTGAAAAAAAAAAACTATTTTTATTTAAACTGTGCGCCATATCCTAATTAAACTACATTTGACCTTCCTTGACTACATTTCCCAACGATTGTAGGAAAAACAACAGTTGGCGGTTGAGCATGACGTCATTTTGTGTATAAATACCGCCCTCGTTCTTCGTCACATCCTCTTTCCATTGCTCTTCTCGCGCTGAGGTACGTTGAACATTTTAACTGCTGTCTGAATCCAAACTAATCTTTATGTTTTACAAGTCATCCGCAGTTACTAATAATTGTATATGTATTGTTTTCACAGAACCTTCTCCTCACGATGAGAGCCAAGGTGAGTTGACCAACCTGTGTTGGTATATTAGTGTTGATCTTCTTCTTGTCCTAGACAATGCTGCTAGCTAGCATCTCATTAGCACTGCCTGTGCTGCTTTTTCTTGACTTAATAACTGAAAACGTTTGGCTAGACAAAGCTGTTTCTTCTGTAGTTATTCTAATAATAGCTACTCTTCAGTTTTTACTTCTAATTGTGTTGAAAGATGTGTGAAGGCTTTTGGTGCAGGAAGGCCCGCTTCAGTGCATGCTAAAATGCTAGCTAGGGAAGCCCTCCTTGATATCTTGCCTGTTAATGAAAGGAAGAAGTAGTTTGGTGACTGACTTTGCTGCTTTTAATGTGTTCATCACCTTTATAGTCAGCACTGCAGTATGTGGTTGCATTAGTATTATGAGAAGCATGCAGTCAATACGTGGGAGGGAACACATGGCCCAGTGAATGCACTTGCTGTGATGTTGAGCTAATAAATATTTCTCTTTTCTTCCAGTGGAGGAAGAAGCGTATGCGCAGGTAAGCAATGATTCAATTTATTTAATACAAATAAGTTACTAGTAAATGTTTCATATGATTGATACATGCACTATTGAAAATCTGAGTTGTGGGGCTAAACAAATTCAGTGAAATTTATCACATTAGGGGCAACATTTGTTATATAAGATACTCAATTGGTAATATGGTGCAGTGACAAAAATCCAGACTTACTAAAGGGTCCCAGTTCTTTTTTAAAAGACATAGCACCATTATATGGCAATGAATATATTTATGGAAAAAAATCAGTCGCATTGCTTTTACAACAAATTCATTTCAAGGTCTGTATTAACAGCCTATTCCACAGACATGGCGATTGGATACACTAATGATTCATGTTGTAGATATTTCCAAATGTGGATCTTAGTAATTAATTGTGCACATTTTGACTTAACCTTACAACTCAATACTTTAAAATGGCCTTATGCGCTGTAAACAGTCGGCCTCATGATTTTGAAATGTAAGCATTCATTAGCTTTAATGAGCTGTCAAAAACAAGTGGCATTTTTAAAAGCCATTTTCCTTTGGGCTGACTTAAACATTAATAAGGGATATTATACCTTCCCCTAAATGTAGTGTTGTAACTTAATTGAATTGGCAATTAAACTTATAAGGTCACTAAGATGTCAAGTGTGCTATTGTGCATTAACTTGAATATTGACCTGCTGTATTTTGTTTCTTCAAACAGACTGAAGCGTAAAAGGAGAAAGATGAGGCAGAGGTCGAAGTAGGCCCTCTTCTTCTTCAGCTGTATTCCCATCGGAGCCTCCCCTGATGACTGAAGCGTGCGGCTGAAGTGAAGCCTCCATCAGTGGATCGAAGGCCTACACCTGATTTCTGCTGACTGTGCGCCTCATGGATCCGGCTGTGAACGTCGGACTGGACGAGGCTAAGATGCTGGACAACCTCCCGACATCAGAATTGCAGCTGCGTTGTTAATGGACCAGAATACAACTGTCATGTGGTGTATTTAACAATAAATGGAACACTTTTAAAAATTGACCCACAGTTTCAGTCAGTTTTGTTCTCGGTTCTTTTAGCTGCTGTTCCGAGGCCTCAGTAGCTAGGTCTGAAACATGGCTCTGGCATGTGTCCGTCATGTTACTAGAGTCTCTTTGGGTGTGTGAAGCACATGTTAACTAAATGCAGCCTGCCAAGAGTCTGGAACCAAGTGTTAAAAACATGAGTTTACAATTACTGTAAATTAGTGAGACTTGTGGTACAGTTCCATAAGTGAAAACTAAAGGCTGAGATAAAGCCCAATACATGTACTTATTCAGTTACTGGTAGAGCCAGTGTTTTACTAAACATTAAGTGGCTACATATCCATTTAGCTGCAGTCTATGGTCGGAAATATTTGGCTGTATTGCAGTAATCCAGGAAAACTCTTAGTCTTGGCCTAGCAAATTATAACTTGCATTGCTGAAATTCCTCTTAGATAGTAAGGACATTATTTTCCAGAAGCAGTGTCAAGCATTAAACAAAATGCTTTAAAATTGTGCAATAAGGTACAAATATAAATCAACATTAGAGGCAAGAAAGGAGAGTAAGAATAAAAAGTGACATGGATTTGCAGCTTGGTTTGTGCTAACCTTCCACCTCCAATTTAATACACTATCCAACTTGTCCTTGTCGAGTGAGCACTTAGGTGTGTTCACATCAAGGACTTTGTGAACCATCAGATTGTGTCTCACTTGAGTTTGATTACTGTCAAAAGGAGCACTGGATGCCACTTCAGACTTTAAATGTTCTAGTAATGTGTTTTTATAACCTCTTTAGTAAAACACATTCTTTAACATTTGCATTATCCAGGGGTTTACAAACAAGGAGGGATCAAGAGTTACTGAAGGTGGAGCAATTAAATATATTGTTATATTTCTTTGAAATTTATGATATGAAATACACCTTTATAACGTGTATTTCTCCTGAATTGGGGATTGGGAGAGTGTACATTGGTAAAGTAAAATGTAACAACCAAATAATTGGCAGGGTTTGATATTGTAAGATCATTATTGATTTCATAACACCAATGAAAAGTAAGAATACTGAAAAAGAAACAATGTAAGGAAATGAACATCACAGTCATCTTAATAGCCAATAAACTCAAAAATAAATTCAGATTAAATTATACAAAAAGTGGTTAGGGTTATATTCATTTTTTGTATAAATACCGCCCTCGCTCTTCGGCACATCCTCTTTCCATTGCTCTTCTCCCACTGAGGTTCTCACAGAACCTTCTGCTCACGATGAGAGGCAAGGTGAATTGACCAACCTGTGTTGGTATATTAGTGTTGATCTTCTTCCTGTCCTAGACAATCTCATTAGCACTGCCTGTGCTGCTTTTTCTTGACTTAATAACCGAAAACGTTTTGCTAGACAAAGCTGTTTCTTCTGTAGTTGTAAGAACAATAGCTAATTTTCAGTTTTTACTTCTAATTGTGTTGAAAGATGTGTGAAGGCTTTTGGTGCAGGAAGGCCCGCTTCAGTGCATGCTAAAATGCTAGCTAGGGAAGCCCTCCTTGATATCTTGTCTGTTGATGAAAGAAAGAAGTAGTTTGGTGACTGACTTTGCTGCTTTAATGTGTTCATCACCTTTATAGTCAGCACTGCAGTATGTGGTTGCATTAGTATTATGAGAAGCATGCAGTCAATAAGTGGGAGGGAACACATGGCCCAGTGAATGCACTTGCTGTGATGTTGAGCTAATAAATATTCCTCTTGTCTTCCAGTGGAAGAAGAAGCGTATGCGCAGGTAAGCAATGATTCAATTTATTTAATACAAAAACGAAGTTACTAGTAAATGTTTCATATGATTTTGATACATGCACTATTGAAAATCTGAGTTGTGGGGCTAAACAAATTTAGTCGACTGTATCACAGTAGGTGCAAAATGTGTAAAATCTACTGAATTAGTTGTATGATGATGAGAAAAATCAGGACTTACAAAAGGATCCAGTTCTTTAAAAGACATTGCACCATTATGTCAATGAATATATTTATGGAAAAAAAATCAACAGTCAACTTTATTTCAATGTCTGTATTAACAGCCTATTCCACAGACATGGCCCTTGGATACACTAATGATTCATGTTGTAGATATTTCCAAATGTGGATCTTAGTAATTACTTGTGCACATTTTGACTTAACCTTACAACTCAATACTTTAAAATGGCCTTATGCACTGTAAATCAGTCGGCCTCATGACGTTGAAATGTAAGCATTCATTCCTTTTTTTAATGTGCTGTCAAAAACAGAGGTGGCATTTTTAAAAGCCATTTTCCTTTGGGCTGACTTAAACATTGATAAGGGATATTATACCTTCCCCTAAATGTAGTGTTGTAACTTAATTGAATTGGCAATTAAACCTATAAGGTCACTAAGATGTCAAGTGTATTCTTAAATGGTTTTTGTGCATTAACTTGAATATTGACCTGCTGTATTTTGTTTCTTCAAACAGACTGAAGCGTAAAAGGAGAAAGATGAGGCAGAGGTCGAAGTAGGCCCTCTTCTTCTTCAGCTGTATTCCCATCGGAGCCTCCCCTGATGACTGAAGCGTGCGGCTGAAGTGAAGCCTCCATCAGTGGATCGAAGGCCTACACCTGATTTCTGCTGACTGTGCGCCTCATGGATCCGGCTGTGAACGTCTGACTGGACGAGGCTAAGATGCTGGACAACCTCCCGACATCAGAATTGCAGCTGCGTTGTTAATGGACCAGAATACAACTGTCATGTGGTGTATTTAACAATAAATGGAACACTGTTAAAAATGTACCCACGGTTTCAGTCAGTTTTGTTCTCAGTTCTTTTAGCTGCTATTCCGAGGCCTCAGTAGCTTGGCCCGAAACATGGCTCTGGCATGTGTCCGTCATGTTACTAGAGTCTCTTTGGGTGTGTGAAGCACATGTTAACTAAATGCAGCCTGCCAAGAGTCTGGAACCAAGTGTTAAAAACATGAGTTTCCAATTACCTTAAATTAGTGAGACTTGTGGTACAGTTCCATAAGTGAAAACTCTAAAGGCTGAGATAAAGCCCAATACATGTACTTATTCAGTTGCTGGTAGAGCCAGTGTTTTACTAAACATTAAGTGGCTACATATCCATTTAGCTGCAGTCTATGGTCGGAAATATTTGGCTGTATTGCAGTAATCCAGGAAAACTCTTAGTCTTGGCCTAGCAAATTATAACTTGCATTGCTGTAATTCCTCTTAGTAAGGATATTTTGTTCCGGCAGCAGTGTCAAGCATTAAACAAAATGCTTTAAAATTGTGCAATAAGGTACAAATATAATAAATCAACATTAGAGGCAAGAAAGGAGAGTAAGAATAAAAAGTGACATGGATTTGCAGCTTGGATTGTGCTAACCTTCCACCTCCAATTTAATACACTATACAACTTGTCCTTGTCGAGTGAGCACTTAGGTGTGTTCACATCAAGGACTTTGTGAACCATCAGATTGTGTCTCACTTGAGTTTGATTACTGTCAAAAGGAGCACTGGATGCCACTTCAGACTTTAAATGTTCTAGTAATGTGTTTTTATAACCTCTTTAGTAAAACACATTCTTTAACATTTGCATTATCCAGGGGTTTACAAACAAGGAGGGATCAAATATATTGTTATATTTCTTTGAAATTTATGATATGAAATACACCTTTATAACGTGTATTTCCCCTGAATTGGGGATTGGGAGAGTGTACATTGGTAAAGTAAAATGTAACAACCAAATAATTGGCAGGGTTTGATATTGTAAGATCATTATTGATTTCATAACACCAATGAAAAGTAAGAATACTGACAAAGAAACAATGTAAGGAAATGAACATCACAGTCATCTTAATAGCCAATAAACTCAAAAATAAATTCAGATTAAATTATACAAAAAGTGGTTAGGGTTAGGGTTATATTCATTTTTTGTATAAATACCGCCCTCACTCTTCGGCACATCCTCTTTCCATTGCTTTTCTCCCACTGAGGTTCTCACAGAACCTTCTGCTCACGATGAGAGGCAAGGTGAGTTGACCAACCTGTGTTGGTATATTAGTGTTGATCTTCTTCCTGTCCTAGACAATGCTGCTAGCTAGCATCTCATTAGCACTGCCCGTGCTGCTTTTTCTTAACTTAATAACTGAAAACGTTTTGCTAGACAAAGCTGTTTCTTCTGTAGTTATTCTAATAATAGCTACTCTTCAGTTTTTACTTCTAATTGTGTTGAAAGATGTGTGAAGGCTTTTTAATACAAAAACTAAGTTACTAGTAAATGTTTCATATGATTTTGATACATGCACTATTGAAAATCTGAGTTGTGGGGCTAAAGAAATTGAGTCAACTGTATCACAGTAGGTGCAAAATGTGTCATCTACTGATTTAGTTGCATGATGATGAGAAAAATCAAGACTTACAAAAGGATCCAGTTCTTTAAAAGACATTGCACCATTATGTCAATGAATATATTTATGGAAAAAAAATCAACAGTCAACTTTATTTCAATGTCTGTATTAACAGCCTATTCCACAGACATGGCCCTTGGATACACTAATGATTCATGTTGTAGATATTTCCAAATGTGGATCTTAGTAATTAATTGTGCACATTTTGACTTAACCTTACAACTCAATACTTTAAAATGGCCTTATGCACTGTAAATCAGTCGGCCTCATGACTTTGAAATGTAAGCATTCATTAGCTTTAATGTGCTGTCAAAAACAGAGGTGGCATTTTTAAAAGCCATTTTCCTTTGGGCTGACTTAAACATTAATAAGGGATATTATACCTTCCCCTAAATGTAGTGTTGTAACTTAATTGAATTGGCAATTAAACTTATAAGGTCACTAAGATGTCAAGTGTGCTATTGTGCATTAACTTGAATATTGACCTGCTGTATTTTGTTTCTTCAAACAGACTGAAGCGTAAAAGGAGAAAGATGAGGCAGAGGTCGAAGTAGGCCCTCTTCTTCTTCAGCTGTATTCCCATCGGAGCCTCCCCTGATGACTGAAGCGTGCGGCTGAAGTGAAGCCTCCATCAGTGGATCGAAGGCCTACACCTGATTTCTGCTGACTGTGCGCCTCATGGATCCGGCTGTGAACGTCGGACTGGACGAGGCTAAGATGCTGGACAACCTCCCGACATCAGAATTGCAGCTGCGTTGTTAATGGACCAGACTACAACTGTCATGTGGTGTATTTAACGATAAATGGAACGCTGTTAAAAATGTACGCACGGTTTCAGTCCGTTTTGTTCTCAGTTCTTTTAGCTGCTAATCCGAGGCCTCAGTAGCTTGGTCTGAAACATGGCTCTGGCATGTGTCCGTCATGTTACTAGAGTCTCTTTGGGTGTGTGAAGCACATGTGACCTAAATGCAGTGTAGTGATTTGTGGCTGCAGCCTGCTAAGAGTCTGGAACCAAGTGTTAAAAACATGAGTTTCCAATTACCTTAAAGGTGTCCTATCATGCAAAATGCACTTTTTGATGTCTTTTATTCATAAATGTGTCAGGAAACTCACAAAGTGTCAGAAAATAAAACCCTCTCTTTTCCTCTGGAGTTGGGAGTGAGAATGTGTTGGTACAACAGAGCTGATCCAGATTTGCGTCCGATATAACGTAATATCAGAAATGTGGGCTGACTTTACACCCACGGCTCTCTCAAACTTCGCTATAAAAAAGGAACCTTGTAAACCCGCAAGAAAAAAAGTATTTGAGTACCATACTGTTTCAGAAATAATCCTTGAAGTGGTTTGGAAAATTATATGGCGTTTAATCACGGCAGAATTTTGCTGCATCTGAGCAGAGCAAACGGCTCGTCAAAGACCTCACCGTTTGCCTGCGTGCTCAAAAGGGGGCGGGGGCAGCAGCTACAGTTACAGAATCAGCACTTCTCTAACTGGGCTGAAATAGAGGGATATGAGGGATGTCTAAAATTCATGATCTGTTTGGTATTTTGAGCATAACACATAGACATGTTTTTATATATATCTGAGACTCATAAGCCTAAAAATAGCATGATAGATATTTAAATTAGTAAGACTTGTGGTACAGTTCCATAAGTGAAAACTCTAAATGCATGTATTTAGTCTATGCATTGCTGTAATTCCTTTATTTAAAGGTGGGGTAGGTAAGTTTGAGAAACCGGCTCGAGATACACTTGTTATATTCCATGGAATGCTCTTAACATCCCGATAGCAATGAATATCTTAAGTGCTTTGACAAAAAATCCATAAAGTCATCTGTGGAAGCCGTAATACTGTAAAAAGCACGACCAATCATTTTAGCCGGCCTGGCTAAAATAACTGGATGGCCTACCTGCCTGTCAGCCTTCCATCTGTGCACAAACGTATCTCGTGCCCTCATTGGTCATGTGCGCGTTCCTGTGTGTTGGAGGAGGGGCTCTATAAGGAAGTGGCAGATTTTTTCCGGTTGTGTATTTTCAAATTCTAGCGCACTCGAGCTGGTTTCTCCAAAATTACCTACCCCACCTTTAATAGATAGTTGGGATATTATTTTCCAGCAGCAGTGCCAAGCATTACACAAAATGTTTTAAAATTGTGCAATAAGGTACAAATATAATGAATCAACATTAGCGGCAAGAAAGGAGAGTAAGAATAAAAAATTACATGGATTTGCAGCTTGAATTGTGCTAACCTTCCACCTCCAATTTAATACACTATACAACTTTTCCTTGTCGAGTGACCACTTAGGTGTGTTCACATCAAGGACTTTCTGTGAAACATCAGTTTGTCTCAATTGAGTTTGATTACTGTCAAAAGGAGCACTGGATGCCACTTCAGACTTTAACTGTTCTAGTAATGTGTTTTTATAACATCTTTAAAACACATTTTTCTTTAACATTTGCATTATCCAGGGGTTTACAAACTGGCACGGATGAAAACTTACTGAAGGTGGAGAACCACAAAATTATTTTCTTGAAATGTATGAGAGTACATTGGTAAAGTAAAATGTAACAACCAAATAATCGGCAGGGTTTGATATAGTAAGATTATTATTGATTTCATAACACCAATGAAAAGTAAGAATACTGACAAAGAAACAATGTAAGGAAATGAATATCACAATCATTTTAATAGCCAATAAACTCAAAAATAAATTCAGATTAAATTATACAAAAAGTGTTTTGAGCTCCTGTAACTTTTAGACTAGATCAGATCCTTTTGGATTTTGCCTGAAAGAAACTGTGTCTCGGTTTTGGCAGGATCTTACAGCTGGTTAAATATCAGAACTGGCAATCATTACAAGATCAAGGAGATCTAGAACAAGGTACTCAGAGTAATAATCATCAAAATTAATCATACCGAAAGGTATAAATGTTGTGCTACAAGTTAAAGTTCTATATATAAAATAAGAAAACTATGAATAACACTAGTATAAAAGTATTAGCCTTCATCAGCCCCCTGTTCTTCAGCACAAAAAGTACTCATTGTGCACAACGGAAAAATAGCGTATGTTATATTATTGGATTATAAATAGTGATGCATTAATGTTTTTTTATTTGACTAATTACGCAGTTGGGTGGCTTTTACACGTCACCAAGGGATTAATACAGTTTATCTTGAAGTATTATTACCCATGATACATATTTTTGTTACATCTTGAACCTCAAATGTTACATTTTCAGAGTATCAAAAACTGTCTGATAAGTAGTCGTACTAACAACATTGTAATTAAATGCAGTACTTGAATAGATGCACTTAGTTACTTTCTACTGTGATATATTCTGGCTTGTGTAGTTGTTTTATATACTAAGCAACTGTTTCTTTCATTAGGCTTTTTCAATAAAAAAGGAGCCTGATAGTTGCACCCAGTTTTAACGAACGTCACACATCGCGAGGGGGCGCTCGAGCTTCTCCTTGATGTTGTACATCGAAGAAGAAGAAGAGTCAGCATTGTAAACACAGGGCTATGGCTGACGAGAGGGCTGCAGAAGAAGACAACCTTAACGACATTATGGGGAACCAGCTGCAGCTTTTACCAGGTAACGGTGCCCCTCAGCGGGGGACAGGGTTACCTGCCGGGTCTCATCGGGTCAGCGTCCGTCTCCCCGTGCTGCTAACTGCAAGCTAACACTTCCTCAACAGGCCACCGTCACACATCACACCCTCACAGACTCATTTTATAGACCTCACACTTTGTTTCGTTTTACCATCAGCGTGGCTTATTAAGAGGATAACAAGCAAAAATAAGCTCTCCAAAATTGTTAGTGATTTGCAAGCCACACAAACAACTTACGATATATTTGACAGTGTTGCAATCAACAAGGCTAAACACAAACATAGCTAACAATCTCTATAAGAGGTATTTTATTACTTATTAGCCATAAAGGCATTACACTGAAAATGATGAGGGAATGCTTGCTTTTTTATCAAATTTCCTTCCTTAATTGTATAACTTACCGCTCCTTCATGCCCATTTGCACTATTGTATATGTTTTAATGGTGTGTAGACACATATCCATTGAGGTGCACAATAAAGTCGATCTAATCTAAACTACTCTAATGTATCTAAAGTTGCAGCTGCACACTAGACTCACCACTGTGCTTGTGTGCTATGACAGATAATGAGGAAGAGGAGGAGGAAGATGACATGGAAGATGACATGGAGACTGAAGAACGAGACAGTGAGGGGACAGAGAAGCACACCACCATCAACTTTGATCCCAGTCTTCCCACATCACATTCTGTGAGTCATGCCACTTTTATTTCTACAGATAATGGCCCAAATGGAGATTTTTTTAACATCAATTACTAATTGATCATTCAGAAGTAAGGTAGTAGCAGCTGTTGTGGTCTGGTGGTGTTGACTGTTTGTTGTGCTGGCAGTACCTGGGCTCAGACATGGAGGAGTTCCACGGCCGTACGGTCCACGATGAGGACAGCTGTCAGACCATCCCTGTGCTGCCTCACACGGCTGTGATGCTGGTGCCCGGCCAGACGCTGCCTCTGCAGCTCTTCAGGCCGCAGGAGGTCAGCATGATGCGGAGCATCATCCAGAGAGACCGCACCTTTGCAGTGCTCTCACACAGGTCAGTAGAAGTAGACACTGCACTATTGGCAGATAAGGCTTTATAATGAAATATCCCGGCCAGTAATGAACATTTCCTCTGTTACATTTAAATCAATATACCATGTTTTTCATATAACCTTAGTTTTAAATAGCTTTCTTATTTTGCCCAGTCAATGTTTTGCAATGTCTGCATCTGCCAGTAAGCCATCACAAGAACATGTGGCACTTAGCTCCATTTCAGCTTAAAACTGGAAGTTCTCTGCAACTAGGTGGAAAAAAAATATTTGCGTATATCGGCAATTAGCCAAAATTAGTTTTTGGGCAATTTAGCCGCGAATGAAGAACACGGAGCACTTTCAGCACATACATTTACGTACACAGCGTGGGGATGTCATATTGTAATGCACCTTAATACATGGAGTAAAGGGCACCATCACAAAGCAATACTTAACAATAACAACACCCATAATGCTTCACCATTAAAACACCATAGACTGTAAATATAAGGAAAACCCAGACACTCATCACAGAGGTCACAATATCAATCAATCCAGCAGAGCAATAGCCTATAGGCAAAACACAGAAGATCAACAAAATATATGACATCAAATGAACTTACCAAAGCTGAAGTAGATGGTCAACTTCATTCATTTTCTTTCCGTTTTACTGATTTTAATTGCTATAAGCTGCTCTCTCTCGTCTCCTCTTCACAACTACACTTTTCGCGGCACACGTACTTACAGCCAATCAGCTCTGAATTATGAGATGACGTTTTGGTGGGGGTTCCAACACTTGGCCCCACTGGTAATTTTTTTTTGCCGCACACATTGAATAGAAAAATACTCTGAGCATGCGCAGTGTAGTTTTTACAGCACCCATTCATTTTGACAGCAGAAAGAGGGGCTTGCCCCACATCGCTCTACACGGCTCAATAGGCACACTGTAGACACTAATTACAAGAACGCAGACTAAAACAGCAATGTACAGACAAATCAGATGACTAAACATGATCTTAAAATATATTTTAAGATATATTTATTTTGTATATTTTTTTTATTATTATTTTAATTACTTTCTGCTAAATAAACTAATGACGAGTCGCCACTGCATATGAGGAGAACTATTTAACTTAACTGTCTAAGAACCTCAATCTCATAGAAGTAAAACACTTAATGACTCGGGTATCCTTTTAAAAATATTCTTGGAGTGTCATTGTAAAAGGTTTATTTGGTATCTGTTTCAGCAGTGATGCAGGTGAGCCGGACGCAGAGTTTGGGACGACAGCTGAAATCTATGCATACCGAGAAGAGCAGGAGTATGGCATTGAAACTGTGAAAGTGAAAGCTGTGGGAAGGCAGAGGTTTAAGGTCCATGAGATAAGAACTCAAGCAGACGGGTAAGTTTAATTGTGTCTTAAACCATTACAGCAAAGGTTAGGACTAAATATATGTGCACATTTTAATGAGAGCTTGAATATATAAATAAAAATGTTAACATTATGTTGTGGTCTTCATGTTGTGAGCCTGTGGCTGTCTGCAGGAATCTGAGCCCTGCAGGTATTCATCATCTAGGCATGGACTGATTTAAACAGGAATATAAGCTGAATGTTATCATCTGCTATGAAACATATTATAAGACAGAAAACCAGCAGCAGTTTAGACTAGGACTCAAAATCAGTGGATCATCTACGTATATATGAGTGTGCCTCTACATTAATTTCTTCAAATTGAAAATATTCAATCTCTTCATTTGTTCTATAAAAACAATTAAGATTAACTTTGAAGTTTCAGTTTCTTACATACTGTACGTGATGCGTATTTACTCAGCAAAGTCAGGACTTTTTTCAATGTGACTCAGTTGGTGCTCTTATAGTTCACACAGCTAGAGGGCAGACTAACTATTCACAGTCATCTTCAAAAAGTAAAGAGAATAACATTCAAACTATTTGTTTGTGGAGTTACTTCTTTACATTTAAAGATTCAGTTTTTTGTACAATAATAATTCGTTGTGACTTGTTGAGGAAGGGTTCATTCTGTTTGAGTTATTCTGCTTCATGCTCTCGAGAGGGTTTAGTTTATTTGTAATCATCTGTGTGGGTTTTAAGTTGAGTCCTCTTGTTGGAGGGTACAGTAAACAACGGAAGCATCTATGGAGAAAAGCTGCCTATTAAACCACTGTGGTTGTGCTATATATCATGGTTACTTACATCCTCCACCGTTCAGGAAATCATTGAAGCTTTAAAGTCCATTAAACTTGATCTCCATACAGTCAGATGTGTAATGCGCATAAATCGGTTGCCATAATCCTGTTGACCTTGTGTTGTGACCCCAGCAACCATAGAATTGAAGTTATTGCCCACTTACAGGGAATCTGCTGTTCTCCGCTCTTTGTTCTGTACATAGCCTTCTCTACCTCTCTGTAATGCCTCTCAAACATTTCTGAATGTGCAACCTTTGGATGTTGGATCTCTGAATAAAAAGCAAAAAACAAACATTTAAACATACCTTTCTACTGCCATCATATTGTGGCAGTGTTGTGGATTTATTTGCTGTTTGTTCATACATAAGAAAGAAAATGAACATTGTGTTTGTGCATGATTGAAGTTAATAATGTTGTGTTTATTCTTGTACATGGTTACACCTGAAGATCTTTATTTTATTTCTCTTGTGATGTTGCTTAGTGAACGTCTGTTTGTCTGAGCTCCACAGTGTGTGTTTGGTGAAGTATTTCTTATGGCTGACAGAGACATTGTACAGACGGCACCTTTTTATGATCATCTCCCCGTTACAAACATCTTGTCATACACCTGATAGCATTTAGCCATCACACTATTTGTTTAATCTGCTATTCATCCGCTCTGTTTCACTCGCCTTCTGTTGCTCTCTTTCACATTTCTCTCCCTGCTTGTCTTTCTTTCCCTAACTTATGTTTTTGTCTCCCTTGTATATTACATCAGGATCAGACAAGCCAAAGTACAGATCCTTCCAGAACGAATCCTTCCAGATCCCCTCTCTGCCGTGCAGATAGCACCCCTCACCAGGCTCAACATGCACCCCTCCTGCAAACCCCCGACTCAGACCTGCAAGCAGGCCCAGCGCTGGTGGAATAACTACCAGCAGGTCAGACACAAAAACACTTAGAGAAAATGCAGTACACATGTGCCGCATGCAGATTCTTTTGCCATTACATACTTTACAATAACTTCATTCTCCATCACAAGGAAATGGAAATGGGACATGACAGCTCTGGTTACACCAACTGATAATATTTAAAGGGGCCCTATCATGCACATTTCAGGTTCAGATTTGTATTTGAAGCTTCTACTGTGAGATATTTACTTGCTTTAATGTTCAAAAACTCTTTATTATTCTCATACTGCCTGTGCTGCAGCAACTCTTTTCACCCTCCGTCTGAAACCAGAGCCCAGTCTGCTCTGATTGGTTAGCTGACCGGCTCTGTTGTGATTGGTCAACCTCTTAGAGATATCCCACCCCTTAGCCTATCATGTACAATGTGTTGGAGCACCAGCCAATAGAAGTACACATGTTACATAGTGATGTCACTATGTAACTGAAGTCAGCAAAGGACAACAATGGAGGCGTTACAGAGGGGGGGGGGGATTTTAGCCTTTGCAGACTATTTAGATTCACAAAAACCTACATAACCACAGGGAATAACACTTAAAGGGAGACCCAATAAAGCATAAAAGGGCCTCTTTAAATAGTTTTGGGCTTTTAACTTGTGGAAGCCTGGGATTTTCAACATGTAACTCTTAACACAGGAACATTGTCGTGAGTGTGATGTTTGAAAGTCCACATACTTTTAACCATTACGTGTATTAACAATGTGGATAGCAGAGGGAAACTGTCAAATGAAGATAAAGTTGGGTAATGTGTCGTCTGTTGTTCCTCACAGAGGAAGTTTCACTGTGCCAGCCTGACGCCATGGCCACCCTGGGTCTACGCACTTTACGACTCTGTGAGTACTGCGGCCCGTGTGCACTGGAATTTCCTCCATAGATAAACATAACATAGGAGTGAATGTAAACCATGTTCTCTCTACCTCCTGTGTACCACCACACAGGAGTCGCTCATGAACAGAGTGAAGAAACAGCTCCATGAATGGGACGAGAACCTGAAGGATGACTCCCTCCCTACGAACGCCGTAGGTCAGCCTCTGTTCAATGTGTTACAGATGGATAGCAGACGCGTTCGCACATGCGCACGTACGTCTCTTTGTTTGCGTTTTTTATGCCCCTGTCCTTTCCTTCCTTTCATCCCTGTCTCTGCCTTTCTGTCTGGTTTGTGTCAGACTTTTCCTACAGAGTAGCGGCCTGTCTGCCCATAGACGACGCTCTGCGGCTCCAACTGCTGAAGATCGGCAGTGCCATCCAGAGACTTCGCTGTGAGCTGGACATCATGGACCGGGTAAGGAAGGGTCACCACCAACCCCTCACTACGGCCCCTTCCTCCTCTGGCTGTGCAGCCATCCTCTCCCTCACTGTGTGATAAGATTGGCTGTCCCTGTTGTACTTCTTTCCCTTTTTCCTCTGGTGTTCTTTGGTATATCAACTATGCCTGTCAGGGGATGTTTTTGCTGCGATATTTCAGTCTAAACTTGGCCATCACAATGTAAACTGTTCATGAACAATTTAGAGTAAGCAAAGATTAATTGAATCACTAGTAACAGAACAGATCTAACAGATCTCTAATAAACATGCAGTATACATGATCTGTTTGTCACTTTGAGCATGGTGATTTTAACTAACCAAAAATATCATCATGTCATTCACACAGCAGAACAACGTTAATGAATATTTAAGATTTCATGCTTTGCTACATGTTTTCTAATACCTGTAATAAAAGTGTCAACATGTCACCAAGCAAGCTATTACCAGATTAAGATGACTAAACAACAATTTAAAAAGAAGATCACAAACCAATTTTAGTTTTTGATGTGCTGAAAACAGCACTTTCTGCCCTTTTTGTATAATGATTTACCTACATAAAATATATTTGGTGATTTCAAATAAAACTAAATGTTAATTTTGTCAGATACCTGAGATAAATGTAAAAAAAAATACTTTTTCACTTCTCTTATTGTCTCACTGCAGATTTCGAAGGAATAATTCAGCATCATAATCACTAATTAAATCTACCAATCGATTAATCATTGCAGCCCTAATCCCTTTAGCTTTAGGTCAATGTACATTTTAATGTTATAACGACAGGAAGCACTAAGTACTGCTGTAAAGCTGTCGCCGGACGTTTGAATTGCTTCTTTTAAAGTGCCTGCCTATTATCTGCTCTTTCCATGCCGTCTGATTGTGGGTAATATCCTCCTTTTCTCTTTACACTCTTACCGGACACACAATCTATACCTGACCTTGTGTCAGCCAGCTCTTGGCTCTTGTGGAAGCATAAAGGATGGATTATTATAGCATCGTCAGTGAGAACAGTGACTTTTAACACTTCATTATCTCTCCTCCTCAGTGCACATCACTGTGCTGTAAGCAGTGCCAGGACACAGAAATCACCACGAAGACTGAGATCTTCAGGTGAGGACATCTTGTGCATGTTGTATTCATCTATCAAAAGCTTTTAAGAGACGGTTGACACATTTAAAGAGAGAAAACTAGCAGCCTGAATTTATTTTTTCTGTTTTGTTTTTATAACTGCACATAAAAGTTGCATTAAGATTGGAGTTACAAAAGAATAATTGGTCCTTCACACTCTAATTTGGGCACCAACACTCACACACTGTTATGGAAAGTAATTTCATAACTGTTTATGACGTGTTATGGTTAATGTATTTGTCCAAGAGTCAAACACAGTAGCTCTAACGCCGATGAAGCTGTCCAGGCCCTAGCTCTACGTTTATAGGAAGAGTGCATTAACTGTTTTGTCTGAGCACATCCAGATAATCAGAGTAAATGAATGATTATGTGTTTAATATGATTTCTAAGTGTAGAGACTAACAGAACTGCATACCTAGCTAATGCATTTTCAATTAGGGACCAAACCAAAAGTGAAGTGCAGTAAATTGCTGCATAATAAAGTGACTGAAAATGTGTCTTTTTATGTGGTTTTAATCTTGGCAAGTACCTGTAAGATTAAATAATCACCTTGTTGAATGCTGAAAACAAGATTTTCAAATCTCAAGTCTTAGCTTTTAGTTTAGTTTAGTATTTTCATAATTAAAACACTTTAAATGCATAATTCAGACATTTTAAGGAAGTTTGGTTCCATTTATTTCTTTTTTATGGAGTCTCTAATCAGCTTCTGGCTGTTTCATTCCTTCATCTAAAGGTTCATTCTGGTGTTTTTGTGTCAAAATCACTGATGAAATATTCCACCTGCTGTCCTTTCTCTGCAGCTTGTCTCTGAACGGCCCCATGGCTGCATACGTCAACCCTCACGGTTACGTCCATGAAACGTTGACCGTCTACAAAACCAACAACCTCAACCTGGTGGGCCGGCCATCCACGCTGCACAGCTGGTTTCCAGGGTAACTTTGCAACACTCATGGCATTAAGCTCATACTCCTCCCTCGGACTCTCTAATAATGTAACACCTAACGCACAGTGAATGGACTTAATCAGACCTCTCACTGTGCCTTTCAGTGCTTTTAAAATGCATTTTCATAAATGTGAGACAAACCTCTGACCCATTGCACTGGGGGTCTCAAATAAGCTTTAATTGAATATTTCCCTAACTGTGTGGTGACATAAATTGAATAGTCTACATTGCCTTAAATCAGAAGCCTTTGGCCTTTCAGTGTTGCATCAATATCAAAAGTGTAATTTCTTATCAATAGGACATCACTTTTTAGTGATCTGAGTTCATTGTATGACGCCAGTCTTGTGTAGAGAGCAGCAGGGGAAAGATATATCCTCCAAGCTCTCTTTTTCTCATCATAATACACACCAATACACAGATCTGAGAAGATACTGTGAACTTGTGTCAATCATTTTGACAGTGAGATATTTGATTTATGCTTAAAGAATAAAACTGAACTGAATTGTGTAGTATTTAACGTCATGTAGATCAAGTGCTGCAGAAATGTCTGCTACATTTAGTTGTTTGGTTTGTAAGTTATGAGAGTTTTTGAAATCATGGTACACTTTGCCATAGGTTTCTTATTGCATTTAGAAAAAAACATTAGAAGACAGCATTAAGTATTTGCAATGAATAAAGTATATAGATACAGCTTTCAGTTGTATTTATTAGTGTCTAAATGATTGTTTCTGAATGACACATACTAAGTAAGTGCAAGTATGAATTGTGCATAATGGGTTGCATTTAATTAATGAAAAAAAAGTCATTTTTAAAGGGATATTTCACAGAAAATATATGTTTTAACAATCATTACTCAGGGACCAATTAAAAAAAATATATTAAAAAAAAATAAGAAAAATGATTGCATCACCATTTAACCTGTGGAATCATACAACAAAAACCGATGTAATTTCTATTGCAAAGACAAAATGGAAACACACCTCTGACTGCACTGCCAAACATTAGCATGCCATTTGCACATCTTATACATCTTTTTGTGCAACATCAGCCCCTTTCTTTGCAACTGTGTTTCCCAAACTCTCAACGCTGTTTCAATTTTCTAAGGACATCTTGATGCTTGAGGATCAGCCGTGACTGCTCAAACGAGCCACAATATTAACCCTTTTAAAGACTAAAACATTACAATTTAAGCCCCCCTAAATTAAAAAAAATGGTTTTGCCCACTGCTACACTGTTTGAGTTTCACTGTGCGGACTGATGCATGAGTAGTTTTACTCTAAAAGGCTGGTTTAACATAAAGTTTGTAAGCCATTTGCGTCTAAAATGCCACTTGTGTTACGAGCAAACTTAAACCTCCGGAGCACACACTGAAGACTTACTTTCCAGGGAATTAGACGACATCTTGTGTCAAGTAGTTCAGTTATATGAACAATATTTTCAAATGTTCATAGATTATGTACTTTTTAATAAGGTAGAAGAAATATAATAATGTTATATATCTTGTCTTTAATAAATATTGTGCTATTCTTTGCTCTCAGCTACGCCTGGACCATTGCTCAGTGTCGCACCTGTGGGTCTCACATGGGTTGGAGGTTCACCGCCATCAAGAAGCACTTGTCTCCGCCTCGCTTCTGGGGTCTGACCCGGTCGGCCTTGCTCCCCCGCATCCCCCACGGCGAGGTGGAGGAGGGGAGAGAGGGCTCTCGCCTCTTCTGCCTGTGACGACGCACCATCATGTATCGTCAATAAACAACAACAAAAACCCTACAGACCCCCAAAGCCTACATCTCCATGCACTCTCTCACTACAATTACTGTCACTAATAAACACAGCACCTGTCACCCATGGCAGTAAATCCATCATATTAGTGGAAAGGTCAGTTAGCCTTTAAATGGCACTCAATTTAGACCAGGAGGGAACTATTGTCCTTAAAAGCTATTGAGAAGTGGAGGCAGCAGTTAGACAACTAAGTGCATTGAGAGAAAATGAGGAAAAAAAAACAGAGCAACAACAGATTGGTCCATAACACGTTTTAGAAACCTAGCTTGCAGCTGGCTGATCTGCACCGCTGTCCATCTGATTCCATGGTAGCTGCAGACATACACAACAACAAAAGCTATGCTTAATGCATCATTTCCCTTCCACTAATTTCCTCTGTATGATGGAGAGGTTTTCTGCATGCAGTTGAGATAGAGATATCTGGCTGATATGTTTCTGATTTGAGCTGCTGTGGGTCAGTGGAGGAGATGAGAGGGGACTTGTTTCTCTAAGGGTATATTTTGAATCTAGGAATCATATAGGATGTATTTTTATATGCAATAAGATTGGAAAGTTGTTATTATCACAAAAAACGAGATGACAATGTGTGAAGTCCCTGAGATAATCAGCTTTGTATTAACTGAGAGCCCATTGTCCTGTCAGGTGATGTGCTCTGGAAACAAACAAGAAAACATTAGAGAAAACCTGAAGTCTAATGAAGGACTGTTTTTATAAAAAGGTTAAAGCTAGTTTGTTCATGTTGTATGGCATGTTAAAATGTTGTGCCTACGCCCCAGAGTCTTTTGATAAGTTTAATGATTCAATGAGCCACAGAGGACTGAAATATTGTAACTGATGAACGGTGTTTTTTGTTGTGTAGTGTCGCTGTTTTCAGGATTTTACATCTTGCGATCTTTGTTGCAAGGCACTGGCTCATGTTTGTATAAATGTATCTGTAAATGAGAGGCCGTTAGCATAGCATTTGTTGTGTCATATAACTGTTGTTCTACTGTTTGTAGAATTGGATTCTTAAGTCGCACATATCTACATGTCTTAGAGAACAGAGGAAAAAAAAACCTTGATCGCAATAAAAACAAATCTAGAAGTGAAGATGTTGGTCTATCTAATTAACTGTTTTTGGATGTTTTTCTCGAAGGAATACATTTTGTCAAGGGGAGTCATAACTACTCTTAAAAAGGCGGTAGCTGTCAATAATAAAAAATATATATGATCTAAACCTTATTGCCTAAGCTAAGCAGTATGTCATACAGGTGTACATTCCTGAGTTTTGTTGACACTCAGTGAGGGAAATATCGACTCTAATGATAAAGGATAATGACTCGGTGGTTTCATGCAGGGACCTTTTCGGATTCATATTTTAATTAATCATACATTTTGTTATCTTTCCTTAAAAACATATTTCACGTTACACCCCTATAACACTGGGACTCAAGGCGGATCAGTACAGCAGGAGATATTCATTATTTTTAGTCCGGCATTCTTCTTGCTTCTTGCTTGCTTCTTGCTTTTTGCTGCTGCCTACATTACCCATAGTGCAACTCAGCCTCTCACAATTTAGTCAGTTTCAGTTGTGTTAGCCATGGTGACTTACCTGAGGCAATTTATTAGATTTTGTGCAGCTCTATCAACAGCCAGAAAAGGCTTCATCTAACTTTTATTTTCAAAAATGCCGTTGAGAAGACCTGGAAATTGACTTTAATGGACCTCTTTAATTTTTTTTCCTGTTGTACCCTTCAGCAGTTGCATATCGATGTGTTTCATGAAGAAAGATAACAGGTATAATCTAAAAAGTGAATGTCTCTTTGGTTATATTATCTGTAATACTGCTTATTCAATGTTCACCAGGCTGTCAGACTTTCCTTCACCTCAAACAATGAAATGTACGCTTCACAGAAGAATTTAATTACCCGTTTCCAAAGAAAGCTGTTTCTCCTTTTTCCATGACAATCGGTGTATAAAAGAGTAAAAATAAATATGCAGTTCTCCTCCTCTGTATGTTTACTGTGTTATATGTTCCAGAGGCATCAATTTCAAAGAATTCAGATAACGTGTGTGTGTCTTTGTTTGTGTGAGAACATAGAGACCTTGTTGAGGTGATGAATGGAGCTTGACAACATGGGAATAATAGTCCTCTGACTACTGGCAAATTGAGATATGCTTTTTTGTGTGCTTTCTCCAAATAATGAGTTTGCGGTGTATTCATCATTTTGTGCAGATAATGTGGGCATCAGATCATTGTGTGCCGGTATATAGTACCCCCCCCAACAACACTTAATTACAGGGGTCAGTAGCCTGCCTAACGTGAAACTGTTTAGGCAGAAGTCTTTCAAACAAAACATGTGTAACTCAAATGCCAATGTTGGGGAATTATGACTGATGTTCCGAAGGTTGTCTTCTACTGCCACAGTCTAGTCTGTCTTTGAAGAAAAAAAGAAACGCTATTAAATTCCAAAACATAACTTGAAATGCCACGGAAAAAAGTATTTAGCATTTTAGATATTAAATATTGAGAAGTCACATGTTGCATTGCATGTCCTAAACAATGTGCAGATGTTCCCACTCGGAGACTCATTATTAGACTATCACTGCCGGTGTTGTGTCAAATGATGCACCCCCATCATGAAATGCCCCCCTTGTCACGGGAACCCGCATTTCTAAACGAAATAAAGAAATAAAGTGACATATTATCCATACTAAAATTGTGTACATTATCACACATAAAATAAACATTCATTTTGAAGATTAGAGTCCAGTGACATGGTAAGCAATCAAAGTCAGTGTGAACAACATGTCATATTCATCTTTAACCCTTGTGTTGTGTTCGAAAGCTGTTACCGTTCATGGTGTTCTCAGGTCAATTTTGACCCATGATTTATCTCCATCTCCAAAACACTCCAAAATAATGACTATCATCCAATATTGTTTTAACTCCATCATAACCTTTAAATTACAACAGGATTGTTTGGTCATTATTTTGGAGTGTTTTGGAGATGGATTTTAGTATGGATAATATGTCACTTTATTTCTTTATTTCATTCAACATGTATTATTAATTACTGTGTGTATGTAAATGTGTTGGACAATTGCAGGACTAGCCCTCACTCCATATTTGTTTTATTTCTGACTCGGATGATAAACCAGGCCTGTCATAAAATGCACCCCACCCCAGAAGATGTTTGTATTAATCCCACCCTCAAGCATTTTTCAGGGTATAGTTGTAGGACTAGTACCAATGAATGGAGCAAGTTTCATGAATGTGACACTTTTATTTTGTAAGATAGCAAGGGGGGGCATATTGTGATAACCAGGCCTGTCATAAAATGCACCCCACCGAAAAAGATGTTTGTATTATTCCCACCCTCAAGCATTTTTCAGGATATAGTTGTCGGACTAGTACCAATGAATGGAGCAAGTTTCATGAATGTGACACTTTTATTTTTGTAAGATAGCAAGGGGGGGCATATTGTGATAACCAGGCCTGTCATAAAATGCACCCCATCCAAAAATATGTTTGTATTATTCCCACTGTTGGAGCTATATATCTCTTTATATTATTTAATAGTTTAACATTTATTTTCTTGCTGTTTATAGTGATTATTGTAAATGTATTCTTAGTTAGCGTCATAAGTTAAAGTAGTTTCTATGCTCTTATTTTGAAGGCACGTTTGGGTACTGGGTGATTAGAGCACCTGGTGTAATTGTATATATTGGAGACAGGTGGGTGGTTGGAGCCAGAGCACTAGTAGGCAAACGTTTTTTTTTACCAGGGTGTTTCAAGCCACACAAAGGAAAGCCATAGGAAAGGCTTAAAGAAAAGAGATATAGGAAACCTGTTCATTGTATTTTGTTATTGGAATAAAATGCACAAATGGAGGTTCTTGTCTGGACTTGGATGATCATTGCCCTGCGTAAGATCTGCTAACTAGTGCCTCAGCGGCTGTTTTAGGTCTATAGGATTTTGGCCGCTACACCCACCCTCATGCATTTTTCAGGGTATAGTTGTAGGACTAGTACCAATGAATGGAGCAAGTGTCATGAATGTGACACTTTTATTTTGTAAGATAGCAAGGGGGGGCATATTGTGATAACCAGGCCTGTCATAAAATGCACCCCACCGAAAAAGATGTTTGTATTATTCCCACCCTCAAGCATTTTTCAGGATATAGTTGTCGGACTAGTACCAATGGATGGAGCAAGTTTCATGAATGTGACACTTTTATTTTGTAAGATAGCAAGGGGGGGCGTATTGTGATAACCAGGCCTGTCATAAAATGCACCCCACCCAAAAAGATGTTTGTATTATTCCCACCCTCAAGCATTTTTCAGGGTATAGTTGTAGGACTAGTACCAATGAATGGAGCAAGTTTCATGAATGTGACACGTTTATTATGTAAGACAGCAAAAACGTGGCAAAAATATGCTGACAAAGACTATGTAACATTTGTAAACATATATTTTGATTATTATATGACAAATATGTAAAATTAAACAATACATTTTAAAGCACGTGTATACAGACAGGACGTAACAATAAGTTAAAAAAAAAGATTAAAAAAAACAAAAACTGAAAAGGAAGTGACGAATGAATTTCGACACCACTACCATCAAATACGGAGCGAAAAGTTTAACCACAAGAATCAAGACTATATGAGCTACCACTAAACAACTCACAGTCTGAAAATTACCATTAATAAAAACCCTGAACGTTTACTTTTCGTTTTAAACATCATTTTAAGGTGTAAACGTGTCATTTAGAAATGCGCGTTCCCGTGACAAGGGGGGCATTTCATGATGGGGGTGCATAATTTGACACAACACCGGCAGTGATAGTCTAATAATGAGTCTCCGAGTGGGAACATCTGCACATTGTTTAGGACATGCAATGCAACATGTGACTTCTCAATATTTAATATCTAAAATGCTAAATACTTTTTTCCGTGGCATTTCAAGTTATGTTTTGGAATTTAATAGCGTTTCTTTTTTTCTTCAAAGACAGACTAGACTGTGGCAGTAGAAGACAACCTTCGGAACATCAGTCATAATTCCCCAACATTGGTATTTGAGTTACACATGTTTTGTTTGAAAGACTTCTGCCTAAACAGTTTCACGTTAGGCAGGCTACTGACCCCTGTAATTAAGTGTTGTTGGGGGGTAGCCTACTATATAGTAAGGTTTAAGCAACATTTTAACAAAAAAATCGGGGCTTTCATCCATTCTTTGATTCATGCATTCACTGTCACTGAGAGAAAACGATTGATTACAAAATGGTCATTTTATGGATGAACTATTCATTTAACTACATCAACCTGTTTGGTTGATGTCAATTTGGTTGGTAAACATAACATGTTTCCCATAACCATTTCAAACCACAAATCAACCGAAGTAACACAGCTCTAAGTGGATATTAATTATACTTGACTTAAAATGTTTGACTTACAAGAGCTCAACACTTCCTCCTCTGTACAATGTTTCTGCAACAGGAGATAGTATAATCATCTTCTCAAAACGGCCCTGTAGGCCTACAGTCCAACACATCACTTGCTTTTGCCATCCAGCATCCAGCAACATATGGACCGATCTCAATCATGGCAAACCTTTGCAGGTTTGATTCTGGAAAATACTTCCAGAACATGCCATATTTTCAAATGTCAGGGATGTCGACAGATAAGTGTTTTTTTTTTTTTATCTCGGTCTCTCCTGTTCTGAAGAAACAGTTGTTTCAATGCAGGGAAAGCTCACCGGCTGCTCCACTTTTTCTATATCCAGATTGTTGCGCATTGCCTTCATTTTAACTCGTAGACATTTTTGAAGCTCATATACAGTGTGCTGACCAGCATCGCCTCTTCGTGGATTGAATCCCTGCCGTCAGACTGCCGATGGCACAGGAGTCTCCTCAGCCTCTTCGGGAGGTGGCCGCTGAACATAAGGTAGATGCAGGGATTAGCGCAGCTGTTCAGACTGGCGAGCAACATCAGGATGGTGAAAGTCGCAGCTGGAGAGACAGAACAAGTTAAAATCATCATGTGCTTGCAAATAAATTGTGTTTTCCACCTAATGAATATCTTGTGTGTCTTGTGCGTAAATGCGCATTTCTCTCATATATTTATGCCATTACTGATAACGTTTTGAAACGGAAACTCAAAATGAAACACAGTTAAAATCATAAAAAATAACCAGATCAAACTGAGCATCTGTCAGAAATACCATAATGACTTACTTTCTTTTGGTGCATGTGCGTCCCAGGCGGACCAGAGCTGGACTGTGAAGAAAGGAGCCCAGCAGACAATATAAGCCAGCACGATGGCCACCGTCATTTTCAGTGTCTTCACCCTGGCCTTGGACATGCCGGCCACACCGCTGGCTCTGGAGGGCAGAGGCAGCCCCACGTTGCGCTGCTGCTGAGTCTTTTGGTACAGGTTGATCTGGATGACTCGGCAGATGCGCACTTGACAAACAACAAGTGTAATAACAGGCAAAATAAAAATGACCAGCGTAGTCCAGGTTATGTAAGTCTGTAGCCCCCATGGTTGGATAAAATCGGCCCAGCAGTCAAACACACCAGGTGCAACCTCGACCTGTGCGAAAATAAAGATCTGTGGCAGGCTGCCCAGCAGAGAAACCCCCCACGCCAAGCACACAGGGATGTTAAGTCTCGTGCTTGTCCGCTGGAACTTCACCATCGGGTTGCAGACAGCTTGGTATCTGTCAACAGTCATCACAACGATCATGTAAGTAGAAGAAAACATTCCGAGAACTTGAAGGTACTTCACCAGGCGGCACACCAGGTCTGGTCCGACGAACCTGTCTGTTATGTCCCATATGAGCTGCGGGCACACCTGGAAGAAAGCGACCACCAGATCCGCCAGGCACAGGTGGAAGACGAAGACGCGCATCCGGGACATCTGTTTGCGCTGTCTCCAGAGGACCAGCAGCAGGGAGGTGTTGAGGATGGCGGCGCTGATGAAGATGACACTGAGCAGCGCGATCTCCAACCGGGCCAGACTCTCATTTCTCGCCACGTCCCCCGCATCCACAGAGTTACTGTCATTCAGAGAACACATGTTGTCTGGGCTGAGAAACAGGCTGCTGGGGGATAATACAAAATATTACAACTTTTACTTGTTTCAAAACATAAACAGTGTTAGTGGAACTCGAGTTAAAACAACGATGCACGCTTTTCAGTCTGAATTAAAAGTTTCTTTTTTTTAGAAGCTATTAAATCACAGTTATTTGTCAGAAAAGCATTTAATAACAAGTATTTCTACTTACCTTTATGAATATGTGTTTTTAAAATAGTGCCGGAGGGGATACTGATGTGTTCGAGCTCGGGTTGGGAGTAATCTCCAGGGAGGAGGGTGGTCTTGTATATCTGTGCCAATGTGTTTTATGTGAGGATGAAACTGGGTGGAGCTTCGATTCATTCAGTACTTTGAATACCAGGCAAATCAGTCTTAATACTTCTCACAGATGAAAAGACTGTTGTTATCATAATGTAATTCGTATGCATGTAATGTGATTTAAAGGCCCTGACCAATTTATTATTGAAGTGATCATTTATCAAGTGCATTTCATGCCTCATTATAGCCAGGGCTAGAGTTAAGAATACTTATTTTTAATTGTTTGAAAGTGTTTAATTGTCTTATTATGAACATAATTCTTCTTCTTGAAAACATGATAGTAAAGTTTTACTTAAAAAACACTTTGTTTTGAACATGAACCGCATTCTCAGAGACTGATACGTCATCACGCCTTTCGACCAATCACGTACAGTACAGTTTGACGTCCCAGTACTTTCAACCGGAAGAGGGAATATAAACAAAGTAGTTGAAATTTAGAAGAATTGTCGAAGAGACAGTTCTCCAGTTGTATTGTCGCTGAAGTACTCGCTCCTTTTTGTGAACGATGTAATGTAATTCGATAGACAGAGTGATACAATTATCATTATTTCTAAGGTCTCCGTGTGTCGATAGCAGGCAACATTCATGGATATCCTCCCAGCTGCTAGCTAGCGTTAGCTACACGGCTAATCTCACTACTTGAAGTACTAAGCGTTAACCAGCTGCACCAATGCCTCAGGAGGGTGAACCGTCTCTTCCTCTGGTCCGCTCCCTCAACAGCTTAATAGCCATTAATGTGGTGTTTCGTAACTTCAGTCCCCGTGTCGTGCGACCACAATGGATAGATTTCTACGGGAAACCTAAGGCATACGTGGATATACAGCCAGGAACGGGACGGGAAATAACCACCTTCATCAGTAAGGAATTCAATAATACAAGTTATCAAATGTCGACCAAGTACCGTTATTAAGATCCTTTACTTCTGTACAATTCAGAGGTAAATCATGTACTTTTACTCCACTACAATTATTGTATAACTTTACTTACTTTGCAGATTTGGATTAATAATGTAAAGTATTATCAACATTTAAAAAAGCTACCCTGCAGCATACAAAGTCATTCAAACTAGCTGCACCTTTACCAGCTTTGATAACACTTTAATGATCAATAATTATAATCAAAACGTATAAGGAAATAGGTCGATCTGCGTATTGACCCTAACCCTTTTACTTTTAGTACTTTCAGTATTTATTTGATGCCAATACTTTTGTACTTTTACTTGAGTAACATTTTGATTGCAGCACTTTTACTTGTAGTATTGGAGTATTCCTACACTCTGGTACTTCTACTTTTACTCAAGTACAAGATCTGAGTACTTTTACCACCTTTGTAAAAGTAGTAATACCACAGCTTAGAAATACTTCATAACAAGTAAAAAGGCAAAAGTATTATTATTAAATATGCTGTACAAGTTAAAAGTAAAAATACTAATTCAAAGTAATATGTTGTTAATATGTTCATCACTTTTTTGTTGCAGCTAGTAAACTAGGAGCTTGTTTTTTTTACATTTGGTAAGGCATCTTTTTCAATATTAGAAGTTATCAAATGTAAATCAAGTAATGTTATTCAGATCAATTCAATTAAATTGAACTAGCTTTATTGGCATGCCCATAATGACATGCATACAGTATTGCCAAAGCTTTGTACAATTACGATCATTATCATAAACATTTTGAGAAGCAAGAATAACATGCTTTCTTTACAAGGAAAACAATATACTTTTCAACATGAACTATAAAAAAAAAAACACAGAACAATAGAAAAAGTTAAGGTGAGTTTTTAATTATTGTGTAGGATAATGCTGATAGTAAATTAATATAATACATTAATAAGAAAATAATAATACAAATAAAAAGTTGTGAGATCTGACTCAGTCTGATTCTCATGTTGTGGCAGAGACAAACTGTCCTGCGAGAATGCAGCACTGGAACCTGCGATCTAAGTTTTTCATACATTTCATAATTACACCTTAGTATTGTATATGTTATGACAATAAACCTTGAATCTTGAGATCTTTTACTTTGGTAAACTTTTGCACTTTTATTATTAAATAAACTATAAATGTTAAAAGTAAAAACGTGAATTTTAGGAGATCAATAAAGTTAATCTGACCTATAATAATAACTGATACACTATTTGTTGATTTATATATTCTTTCAATAAATTGAAATCTTCAAAGTAATAAAATAATAAAATAAAAAGTACAATAGTGTTGTAATTACAGTGCTTGCGTACATTTACGTAGGTACTGCCCACCACTGCAAGCTTTTACAACATTACAGGAAACACATTATATCTGAAAGGTACACAATATGTGCCCAATCACTTGTCTGCTTTGCAATACACATTCATTAAAACATGTTTTACGAATGGTTTCCCCAGGTCACCCATGGATGTTCAGAGATGCAGATACTGATGAGCCCCTGAGGGTGAACTGCAAGGAACTGTTTCTTCCCAAACCAGCAGAGAGTAGAAATGCTAATATCACTTTACCAGGTAAGGTTAGCCACAGTCCGAACATATTAGACTTTATCATATGTAATGAATTTCTACTCACAGATATAAAACCAAGAGGCATTCATGATGCACTGAAAAAAAAAACATTGTCCTGTGAATAACATCTAAGCATTTGTGTATTTTGAAAGACTGTCAAACTGCTGTTGATTGCTTTTTTAAATGGCAAAAAATTATTAATAGTTTTACACTTGCCTTTTATGATGTTGGATCATGCAGGTAGGTTCTTCTTTATTTGGCAGGATTTGCTTGTTTGATTATTTATTTATTTATTTAGATCCCCATTAGCTAATATATTGCAACATAATCTACTCTTCCTTGCTTTTCCCCCCCCACAATCCCGAATATAAAAACAAATGTATACCAGGGTTTCCGCTAGGATTTTTTCTTGCTGGTCAAATGTCCGGACAGAATTTATTTTACCGGACAAATGTGAAACTTACCGGTCATGTTTCAATAATAATAATAACAATTGTGTAGCAGAGTTTCCGTTAGCAGGTAATTACCGGACTATGCCCGGATATGCTGATGTTTAAAACTCAGTTAATGGGGCTCATTTTTATATTGCTTCAGTTTATAATCGTAACAGATCGAAAAATTCAGATTCATTTTTCAATAAATGATTCCACAAACAACATAATTATTACATTCAAACAAACTACTTGTAGTAGATGAAGTACATTATTCAAAAATGTACATTAACTTTGAATAATAACACAGGAGAAACGGATCCTCTCTCTCTCTCTCTCTCTCTCCCTCCCTCTCTATCCTGACAGCCGGTCAGTATCTCATGCAGCTCGCTAAACAGTGGGCGGGGCTTCAGGTGATCATGCAGAGCTTTGTGTCTCCGTCAGACTCAGCAGCTGATCTGATCTCTGATCTCTCTCTCTCGCGTCCGGTTATACTTCACTCGCGTTTATGTCCATATCGATCAGATCCAGCTCTCCTGATCAGCCTTTATAGAGAGCACCGATCAAACTATTAAGAGTGAATATCGGCCGATAATGACCGGCGGCCGATCGATCGGAACATCCCTAATTATTACCGGACATTTTGACCGGCAGGTTTTGAATTTACCGGTTTTTAATACATTTTACCAACTAAAAACCGGTAATTACCGGCTAACGGAAACCCTGATGTATACATATGTTTTTATATTCGGGATTGTGGGAAACGGTATTTCGATCTCTGTCTGTACACACAAACTGGAAGATTGACAATAAAGTTGACTTTTTGGGCATGGCTTTAAGATCTATTTTACTGGTACTTCTACCACACTTCAAAACACACCTAGGCAAGTAGCATTGGTCTTGTTGTGGTCAAACCATCACAAAATGACCTAAAAAATGAAATGGTAATTTACCGATACAAATGGGAGTACAGTTTCTTGAATGGCCACTTTAGGCTGGCCTCAATTTGTTTGTTTTTTGCACTTGAAGATTGAAAGACAATTTTCAACAACTGTCAAAAACTTGTTTGCTTTACACAGTAGACAGCCTCAAGGATCGTGCTCTTCAGGTTATACGTCGTCTGGTACGAGCAGAAGACTACAGGAGGTTGGAGATAGCACGGTGTCTCCATGAGGAGCTAGAAGATCAGCCCAGTATTTTGAAAGATCTCCATCGCATGAACCAGCATCTGCTGGAGAGAATCCAATGCCAGGAGGAATAAGGCCTGAAACTGGATGGAAAATGGTCATGGATGGACAGCAATATTTTATCCCACACTATTAAAACCAGTGAGTGAGCAGCAGTTTCAAAGACGTCCTTAAAGGTCTTACATTTTTCTGTAAAGGAGTTTGATCTGCTGTCTTTTGAATTCACTCATTGGCTTTGGAAAATGTCTTCCTCCCCAAAAAAAAAACTGTAGCATTTACCTTTTTAGGAAGAGGAGCTTTCATATTGTGATGGCAGCATATTCAATTACATAGTATTTTGTTTGTCCTCTAAAACTGTGTTAAAGGATTTCCATGTTTATTTCTAGAACGGGACATTGTAGCCCTTGATTCCTATCTGTCTATGTTAACATCAAATCAAATCCTATTTGATCATAGGAACAACATCAACATGTTTTTGTCTTGCATATCGTGGTATAACCAATATCCGGTCCTAAGGACATTAAATTAAAGTGTTTATAGTTACATTTGATAGGAATTTCATGACATGTGCTGTCAATATTTTTTACTGGGGGTGCCTGAGATAAAGTGGTCTTGAAAATTCCAGTTTAATGCATTTCTCCTCTAAGATAAACGTTTCCTTGTTATCCTAGCTGTCAAATTGAACAGCCAAGGCTGAGCTTATCAGCAATCATCAGAAAGCTTTGGCTTTGGCACTTTACATTTGGAGAAAGATGGAGTGATTGAAAGGTGTACTTTCAAGTTCACACATGGGCATGTTATCTTCAAAAATTCTGTGTGGCAGCTTAAATAATATTTGGAAACCAAAATAATCAACAAGACTAGGTTGTGAAACACTGAATGAGGACTGTATGCTTCTTTCCTTTTGCCTACTTTGTAATTCTGTTGTTCTGTCAACATGTTCTAACTGGATATATTGTTACAGAAAAAAATAAAAGATTTATTTCAAACTATTCGATTACATGAACTATTAAATTATGAACAAAGGGTCACAAATAAATAATCTTAAAATGAAAACATAATTTCTCAGCGGGTTTCTCAGAGGGGTTATTTCTGAGAAGCTACAGTATTATGATGGTGGAAATGGGCAAAACATTGCAGCTTTATGTGACAACAAACAAGTCCAATAATAATAATAACAATAATACATTTCATTTTTAAGCGCTTTTTCAGGTGCTCAAAGACGCTTTACAGTGGGGATAAAACGAGATATAATAGAATAAAAAATTATAAAAACAGCAACACATATAATTGAATAAAACAAATTATAAAACAGCAACACATAAAATATAATTAAAAAAATATTAAAACAGCAATACAACATAATTCACAAATTAAAAGCCAGTCTGAAGAGGTGTGTTTTGGTCAGTGTTTTGAAGGTGGGGGGGGGGGGGGGTCGGTGCAGTCTCTGATCTGTTGTGGAAGGGAGTTCCAGAGGGTGAGGGCAGCGATGGAGAAGGCTCTGTCCTCCCAGGTTCGGAGCTTGGTTCGTGTGGGGATAGAAAGGAGGTTCGCTTCTGATGAACGAAGGCTGCGGAAAGGGGTGTGGTGGTGGATCAGGTCGGTGAGGTAGGGGGGGGCCTGGTAGTTGAGAACTTTGTGTGTTAGCAGAAGGATTTTGAAGTGTATTCGTTGACGGACAGGGAGCCAGTGCAGGTTTTGAAGGACGGGGATAATGTGGTCTCTGGAGCGGGTGTGGGTGAGGAGGCGGGCAGCGCAGTTCTGGATATATTGCAGTTTATTTAGAATTTTGGATGATGAGCCATACAGGCTGTTACAGTAGTCCAGTCTTGAAGTGATGAATGTGTGGATGAGGGTCCGAGGGTTTCAAGGGTGAGGTTGAAGTTCTGGGTGGTGTTGGTGCTGGATGTGGGTCCGATTATGATAATATCTGATTTGTCGCTGTTCAGTTGAAGATAGTTTGTTTGCATCCAGGATTTAATTTCTGAGAGACAGTTGGTGAATGTGGAGTGAGTTGTGGCAGTGATGGTTTTTGTGGAGATGTAGAGTTGGATGTCATCGGCGTAGCAGTGATACTGAAGGTTATGGCGGCGGATGATTTTTCCAAGGGGGAGCATATAGAGGATGAAGAGGAGGGGACCAAGCACCGAACCCTGGGGGACGCCTTGGGACAGAGGGGCAGTGGAGGAAGTGCAGTTATTGATGTGGATGAACTGGTGTCTGTTGGTGAGGTAGGATTTCAGCCAGGAGAGTGCAGTGTCGGTGATGTTAAGAGATGATTCCAGGCGGGACAGCAGGATGGTGTGGTTGATGGTGTCGAACGCTGCTGTGAGATCAAGGACGATGAGGATGTTGAGGTTGCCGGAGGAGAGGAGGAGGTCGTTAGTGATTCTGAGGAGGGCTGTTTCTGTGCTATGTTTTGTGCGGAATCCTGATTGAAAGGGTTCAAACAGGTTATTGGAGCTGAGGTGGGATTTCAGTTGGGAGGCTACAACACGTTCGAGTAGTTTTGATAGGAAGGGGAGATTTGAGATGGGCCGGAAGTTGGACATGATGTCAGGTGTGAGTCCAGGTCTTTTCAGTATGGGTGTAACAGCAGCCAGTTTGAGTGAGGGGGGGACTGATCCAGTGCAGAGGAGTTCATGATTGTGGTTATGAGTTGGGAGATGGCAGGGAGGCATTCCCTGACAAATTTTGTCGGTATGGGGTCCAGAGTGCAGGTGGAGTTCAATCCAGCCATGAGATTGGACAGTTGCATTGGGGTCAGAGGGGGGAACCGGGATAGGGGCTGGGAGCCAGGAGGGGAGATGGGGAGGGCTGCTGAGGAGGTCAGGTTTCTATAAATGCTGTCGATTTTGGATTGAAAGAATGAGAGGAAAGAATTGCACTGTGCGGTTGTGAAGGATGGGGTGGCGTTGTCACAGGGTTTAAGGAGTGTGCTGATGGTGGAGAACATAGCCTTGGGGTTGCTGGAGCCGGAGTGTATCAGTTGTGAGTAGTAGTTGGACCGGGCTGCTTTGAGTGCGTTATTGTACTGTTGTAGGTAGTCGGTGTAGGCATGGAGATTAACTGTTAGAGTGGCATTCTTGTGAAGGCGTTCCAGTTGGCGTTTTTGTGATTTTATTTGGCGGAGTTCGGGGGTGTACCAGGGAGCTGAATGCATAGAATGAATAGAATACAGTTGCACAGTTGTATGCGATAGGAGTGTATTTAAAAAAACTTTGATTTTAATGATTTAGGAATATCAGAGCTGTCACATCCAATAAAGTTAAAACATAAGATACGATTCTTTATTGTTAATGCATATTAAATTACATGTTGACATTTATTTTGTCAGCAATCATCTTCATTTAGCAGCAGCATATAAAAGTATTCTTAATGGAAAGCAACACGTATAGCAATATCATAGTATATCGAAAATAGAGCAAACACATGGCAGTTAAGGCACATTCAACAGAATAGTCTTTAGCAATGTCGTTACTTGTGCAGGTTTCATCTGTATGTACTGTTTGATAGAAGCCGAATAACTTCACACAAATGTCACTTGTATAATCCTGACTGCATAAACTCACAGACACACAAGGATATCCATTCCAAGTCGAATGTTACAATCAGAAATGATTACCGGCTCCGGTGTACCACAGCAGGGGTACTGTTGCAAAACATGTTGCTTAGCGACAAAGTAACACAAGCCATCTTTGTGTGTGTGTTAGTCGCGGTGAGCTGCCATCAGTATTTTTGAGGACTATGAAGGCAGGAGAAAGAACATGGAACTCGAGTCGTTTCAGAAAAGAGAAGTAAGTAAGAGGTCATCGTTGAGTGCTTTCTCTCATACACATATTACAGAATCTGCTTTTCAGCCTTCTGGTGCATGATGATGAGCAGAAGTTTTAGACGCTAACCAATATTCATCATCTTTTGATTTTCTTCACCAGCATGACATTTTGGCCAAGAAGTCACCCAGTCGTGTTTCCGCATCTCCAGACCGACCACTGGAGCAAAATGAAAACAATGGTAGGAGCACATGAAACAAAACACCCTATTACCAACAGGATGACAGAAAAACAAATGAAAGTCCCGATAAATATAAAAATACTTTGTACTCTTGTGATACTATGCACTTTTATTCCCACCTAGGTTCCAGTTTATCTTGCATCAGTTCCAGCTGCCTTGTTGAAGGACAGAGGTTTGTGAAAATGATCCTATTTCACAGATAATATAAAACTGGGCGATGACGAGGAGAGAGGGCAGAGTTTTCTACTAATGTTCTGCGCAAAAGAAAATGGGTCTCTAATTTGGCTTTATTACATGCCCTAGTGTATCGATCACATGAAGGTGCTCCAAACCGGCTGCTACCTCCTCTGACTCCTGATAAAACTTTGATTAATGATCCTGTTCCCTCCATGGTGGTGCCAGCATACAGTAAGGCCTATATTAAGAGGAATTTAAATATCTTACATTTTATTATTTACCTCCATGCTAATTCACTATATGCCATTTGTTTCTTTAGATGTGAATCATAACAAACCAAAAACCTTACCTCAAGACATGCCGCAGCTCAGGAATGAGTTCAATGACCGTGCCAGGAGGGGCTTCTGCTACTGGGTCCTTGAAAAGAAGGGCTCAGCATGTAAGCACTGATCCAAATGTCACCTATACAAGAAGTGTCAGCTCGGCGAGACATTCGCATGCACATGCACATTGTTTAAATCACTTTCATTGCAGATTCTGCTATTCAGACTAACCACTGTGCGCTCAAGCTTTACAGTTTTAAAGCTTTTATTCAAAGAGGTATCTCCCTGACTGACTCTGGTGCATGGTGGGGAGCAGAAGGTCAAACCTTTCAGTGTTATGCTTATCATCATTTGTCCAAAGCTGAGTTTCTATTCTTCATTCATTTCATTTTACGTTGATATATTATAAAGTCAGTGAACTAAAGCTGCAATGTTTAGTCAACTAACCACTCGTAGGACGTACATGATCATTTAAAAAAAAGTAAGTTAAGTACTTTTGAATGGAAATGGAAGGAAATAATGTTTTCAGCCTCTCAAATAAGACATTCAAAGACATAACGTTGGATGTGGAGAAACTAAGATGGACATATTAGACCAAATTATTTAATAATAAAAAATCAATAGTGACAAATAATTCCCTTTTTCTGTATTTCATAAAAGGGATGCACATAATTGTAAATGTCTGCCAAAGAAGCATGTTGAAGAGGGACAACTATGTGTCGTGTACGTGTCTCACTACATTATGATTGAGGGACTGATGAATCTTCATCCCTTCCTGCAGGTAAAGGATACAGCTTTGGTGCCTACAAGACCTCCCTGGGATTACCAAAAGTCTGACAAAATGTGTTACTGTCGAATATTTTTGTAACCATCTGTCACAATGAATTTTGAATGCAAAAAAAATAGGACTATATCATTTAACTTAGAATGAAATTAAGTCTCTCTTAATCTTATCAGTGTATCGACTCTACAGCAGTGGGCGCAGGAGCTCCAACAAGCCGTTTAGGACAGAGAGTGAATACACATACTACTATACAGAGATGCTGTATGAGAAACCAATGTGAGTTTGGAAAATTGCACAATATAAATCTATTTTAGGATACCTCAACAATGGAATTATGATCAGTAGAAATGGCAATGACATGGGACCTTTAAATCCAGTTTCACTGGCAGTGTTAACCAGTTTTTTTTGTGGGAGTCAATCCTGTCAACCCAACTACATCTAGTGTTTAAATCTCTTTTGCCTCATGAATGTTGTGTTTATCTTTTTCATTTTGTCATGTCTGTTTTTTCAATTTTCATAATCAGAATTGCCTCTAAAATTGTAAACATAAACTCATTGTTTATAATGTATCTCATCCACTATTTAAACGTGTGTTTTCCTTGTATATTTTAAATGTGTTCAAAACACTTTGACTTGAATAAATTGTGACGTATTTATCAATTCATTTGACTTGCTCACCCGCCTGGGGTCAATGCTGTTTTCGCGGTGCTTTCTGCTCTTTTGTCAAATCTCGTTGGTATAATTGATCTCGCGAGGTATGTAGACCAATCTGGTCTTTTGCTTGCGTTCAAACCATGGATGTATAATAAGAAACCCAAACCACAGCTTCAAAGCCTATGGTTCAAACGGCCCAAATAAGAAACCTTTACCACCATCTGGCGGTTAATTGAAACCCACATGTTTTAGTTGAATCCACTTTTAATAATGGCAATGAAGCCTTGTTTTAATTAGTTTTTGTTGAGAAACGGTGTCAACGGTAAATCGTGTAAATTACCGAGCGGACAGTGGCTGACTGATGAAGTGACGCAGTTTTATTTTGACCTCCTGCACTGACTGGCAACTTCTACTGAGCCTTGCCCGAAAAGGTAACGGTAAGCTTGATAAATAAACGAATCGATGCATTTAACTGACTAGCTATAAACGTGATAAAGAAGTTACTGTGATTGTTAACCCGATTTTTGACGACGGAAAATCACTGTTTTGAATAAACCGCTTAAAACAGTTAGCTAACGGTTAATTGGCTGTAGTAAAGGTGCTAACTAACGGCCTCGTTGGTTAGCAACACATCTCCAATGACTGCAGTGTCAGCGTCTTTTCCTCCAAGGTAAGAGCAGACCGCTGCACAAACACCCACAAACACTGCCAGACTGTTAACAAATTATTAAAGCTATTTTACCTAGGTTTAACTTTTAATTTCACCAATCTTAACAATTTAAACTGATTGACACACCCCCAGGTGACGCTAGATAACATTAGCTAACTTAAATAAATAAAAAAAATGGTAGCCATTATGTGTAGCAGAATATGTCTCGTAGTTTTACATCAATTTATTAAGTTAACATCTGAGAATCAGATAAATAAAGTATACGGTTTCGACAGTCAAACCTTACTATTGTTATGGTTATTTCTTGGCGATCCAGTATATTATTAAGGTTCCTTCAGTATCTTGTTGTAGGCTGCTGGGTTTAGCTGTTTTTCCTGGAAATACATCTCTGTCTTTATCGTCCATCTTTCAATATTGTATTATATTGCTGTGCTTAGACATTCACACATTTAAGCATCACTGTCTTTATAATTGTTTTCTCTTAGCTTCTGTAAAGCCTGCTAGTTTCTATCTTAAAAATGCTCTGTATTTCTTGTATTTAACTTTATCAGTTTCTCAAACTAGTCTTAGACTGCTGCTTTTGGTCCCTAAATTCAAGAGAATTGGGCCTCAGAAGACCTTGAATTGGATGTTTAAGAAAATGTGGTCACCACAACATAGTTACAACCTGTTTTAATGAAGGACACGAGACATTTAGATTATGACCAGATAAATTAAATTAAATAATTTGTAACTGCGGGTTTACAGAAAACTACACTTAGGAAATAACCCATAGGATACATTTTCATGCAATATACCAATTATTTGTAAATGTGAACATTGATTAGGTATTTATCTGCTAACTTAATTTTTCACAAGATGATTCCTCATTATGGGAACAATTATAACTGCATTTTTATCTTAAAGGTCCCATGTCATGCTTTTCTGGTTATTACCCGTCCCCTTGTGTGTTATGTAGCTTTTTATGAATGAAACGGTCTGCAAAGTCATAAACCCTCAAAGTACACCCTGTAGCGAGTAAAACTATAACATAGAAAATACCTGTCTATCTATGCTGCCCCAGAACGCCTCGTTGGAGATTTTTCTTTTTCCATTTTTTTCTTCCTGGTCATAGTGACGTAACACTGCGGAGCTCCGCACACACACACACACTCAGTCTTATCTTTTCTCAGCCGCGGTGCTGCACAGAGCTCCGTACACACACACACTCGGAGCTCAGGCTGTGAGTGTATGTGTGTGTGTGCTCAGGCTGAGTTCCGCGCTGTCTCGCAGACCCCACGCAGCAACCAGGAAACAACACCAGTAATCCAGCTCACACTGTCCGCTCCACGAGCCTCAAAGGGAGGCGCAGCGAGCCCCGCAACGTTCCGCCAACACGGCACCCAGACCCCACGCAGCATTCTCATCTGTTTGTCATTACTGGTGTCATTTTCTGGTTGCTAACAAACGCCATTGTAAAACATAAACACTGATGTCCAGCTGTAATGGTGGTTGACTAATCAGAACAGAGTGAGCGAGCTGACCAGAGCACAGTGGGCTCATAGGGAGGGGGGGGGGGCAGGGGGCAGGAGCTCCAACAAGCCGTTTAGGACAGAGAGTGAATACACATACTATACAGAGATGCTGTATGAGAAAACCCAATGTGATTTTGGAACATTGAACAATGTAAATCTATTCTAGTAGACCTCAACAATGTAATTTATGATCAGTAGAAATGGCCATGTCATGGGACCTTTAAGTATTTAAACAGTGATGTTTTCATGTTATAACCTTGTTGCCTGCATGATGAACTGGAGGGTTACACAGATGTGTTAATTCCTTTACTTTGTATTGTATTAGAAATCTCAGACATGGACAGCCGCAGGAAGAAGTTGAAGTTCAAGCAGCTTCAGACTACCATCACCTCACCCACACAGCTTCAGGATAGTGATGCTAGCCCAGGAACACCGTCTTGCTGGAATATGTCTCAGAATGAAGATTCATATAACCTCGGCAGCTCTCCAGGACCTGATGGCCTTGGGGCAATGAGTCTGAACACTCCCAAGAGAAAAGCAAAAGAGCTTGGTGAAAGCACGCCCTCTTTAGGCAAGCTTAAGCTGAGGAAACTGTCCAGGAAAAATTATGAAGAAATCATAACCTCAGAGGTAAGTTTTGCTCTGACCATCTATTAATTGTAGATCTATAGTATGTTGTTTAATCAAAGCTCAAGTTTTATATATGCTATTTCTTGTTAAGTAATTACTGTTTTTATTTTGTCTGTGTGCACCTTTACTATCAGGAGAAACCCATAGAAAACTCATCCAGGCAGCTAGAATCCTCAGAGAGCGAGCACGTATTGTCCACTTCACTTCACTCTTTCCTTATGAAAAAGAGAGAGAGGACACCAGAGGAAGGATCGACAGCTATCTACAGCAGGGCACTAATAGCAGCCATTGGCAGCTCAAATGAAAGGGGCAGCACTACAAATGCCCCTGTGACCTCACCTCTGAAGACCCAAGTGCTCAGTCCGGCATCACTTGACAGGAACCCCACACATATAGATTGTTCCCCAATTAAACCGGTGTATGAATCTGAGGACAACGGTAGTATTCAGGAAGAATCATGGGAGCCCAACGTTCAATCGTCTGAGGACTCTGAACCCCAAGGTGGTGGATCAGAGTTATTAACAGACAAAAGAGTAAGTTAACTCACACCGACATATACGGCTACACCACTTCTTTTTTTTTGTAGAAATGAAACAATTTGTACAATTTGTTATTTACTTTGTTCTTGTTATTTTTCATGTGCCAGGGAAACAAATACATATTTTTTATAAAAGATTATTCAAATCAAAAGCCATTTAACTATCAAAGAAAATAGTCTAATGCCAAGTTTGAATCAGTGCAGCCCTTCCCTGAAATCTCTTTCTTGCATTTTTACTTTAAAATGTTTTTTTTGTCATATTTTCACTTTATTTATTTTTAATGATTTTCAGACTGTGGTGCTAAAAGATGAAGATTCACAGAAGAGGTTTGTCGATCCGGACCATGTGTTGGTAGAAACAACCTCTCGGGACAAGTTATTTGCTGCAGAAAATGGACCGGAAGACAAATGCTGTGACGCTCCCCTTGATGTTGAAGAGTATACCCCAGATTCTAGGTGTTATTTCTCACCTCATCAGTATGATTCTCCTGATACCCATCAATGGGAAAGCCCTCCATTGAATACCCAGGGAGCTACAACTTCCTCTTTCACCTTTTCATACCCTAATGAAACGTCTTGGGCCGCTGTGGAGAGGCCTTTCTCACCATCACAGGGGACAGTTGTTGTCCCCTTTAGGGCCAACCAAACAAACACAGTCCCTTCAAAGGCATCCAAAGTTCGGACTGAGAGTTTCCACTCTTCCGACGCTGTGTCCTATGTATCGGATCCGTATGCTCTGCCACTCCACTCCAGAAGAGGACTGCGGAACTCCACAGCCACACACAGGAAGTCAGATTCAAGCTTCTTCATGCGTCACACCTTGACACATTGTGACCGTCCTAAAAGAAGACGATCCATGGGAGCTGCACCTTTTGGGACCAACTACCCGGGCAGTCAGGTTGGGTTCATAGACACACACTGTCACATAGACATGCTCTATGGAAAGCTTGGTTTCCGCGGGACGTTCAGCAGCTTTCGAAGGCACTACCAAAGCAGCTTTCCTCCCGAGTATAGAGGCTGTATCACCAACTTCTGCAACCCAAGGGCCACGGCGAAGGAGGCCCTGTGGGAAGGTCTGCTGGCTGAAGACATGGTATGGGGGGCCTTTGGGTGCCACCCCCACTTTGCCAAATTCTACTCAAGTGTCCATGAACGCAGTATGCTGATGGCCATGCGGCATCCAAAAGTTGTGGCGTTTGGTGAGATCGGCCTGGACTACTCCCACAAAAACTCCACTGAAACCCCCAAACAGAAAGAGGTACAGTCTTTGACACTGTGAAGTTGTCAAAAATATGTCGTGATTGATTTGTAAAATAATATTGAGTGTTGCTTCTCTGGGAAGGTGTTTGAGCGCCAGCTGCGTTTGGCTGTGGCCATGCAGAAGCCTCTGGTGATCCACTGCAGGGACGCAGATGACGACCTGCTGGAAATCATGAAGAAGTGCGTCCCCAGGGAGCACAAGATACACCGGTATGTGTGGAGGAAAATAATCTGACTAACTTTCCTGTTCAAGTCAATTTAAGAAAATGTAAGTGTTCTTTTTATGGTTAGACGCAGTGTTTCCCATACATTGATTTATCTGTGGCGGGCCGCAAATGGATCTCATAAAAAAGAAAAAAATAATAATATATATATATTTATTTTTATTTTTGTGGTCTAATGGATAGTGAGGTGGGCTGATGATCGGAAGGTTGCCCCCACAAATAGAATCAAATTCTGTGGGAAACACTGTAGACGTATTGTATTAATCCTTAGATAGTCATTTAATCAAACTCCAATGTAATCCTTTGTTCTGGCAACTTCTGTGGCTTCCCAGGTTGTGTGTTGTGTTATCACTGCGGTTAGCGCTGACTTCAAGTTTCAAGGCTTTATTGTCATGTGCACAGTAGCTACAGTGTAGATATGGCAATGAAAAACTTAAGTCACAGACCCCTGCAACATGAATATGTATAGGACATAGAACAAATAAATAAAGTAATGTATGAAATAAGTCATTTATAAAAAATGTAATGTGGTCAATTTGTGCCTGAACTGAATTGACTGAATTCTTGATGGTATCTTATTACTTCCAGGCACTGTTTCACAAACAGTTATCCGGTCATTGAGCCCTTCCTGACGGAGTTCCCCAACCTGTATGTTGGTTTTACGGCACTGATCACCTACTACAAGGCTGCCGAGGCCCGAGATGCTGTCCGCCAGATCCCTCTGAACCGCATCGTGTTGGAGACAGACGCACCGTATTTCCTCCCAAGACAGGTACTCTTAGATTGAGGCCTAGCAAAGAAACACTGTTCTAAGGCTTTTTTTGTCAGCTCCTAATACTGGCAATAACTTCACATTTCCACCAGCTTGCTTTTACAGCTAAACACATCAAGTTTATCTGATGTGACTGAAGCTAATGTCAGTTTATAAGAACGTACTTTTTATGCATTTTCAACTGACAGCTAATAAAACACAGACAGCCTTGTAGCTAAGAGACGTGACAGTGTGTCAGTTCAGGGTAGAATTACTCGTTCTTGGATTTCTTATGTCCAATTTAAACCCAGCTCATGTTGATCCTCTAATGTTATCACATACTCTTTTGAATCTTAATTTCAAGAATGAAGTTGTCTATTTTGTTGCTATTGAATAAGTATGATTTCAGTTGCTTTTTTGTTAGATTAGAAAAGTAAAAATGGCCAGAATGGTACTGTTTTCAGCATTGTAGCCCTAAACCATCAGGAGTACATTTCGACTAAATACGAGTGTGTCTCTCCTGCAGGTTAAGAAAGATGTCTGCCAGTTCGCTCATCCTGGGATGGGCATCTACACGCTGCAGGAGCTCAGCCTGCTGAAGGGGGAGGACATGCACACGGTCCTCAGCACCATCCGGAACAACACCGTGCAGCTCTACGGCATATAATCTAAAGATGGTGGATACAAACTAGCAAGAAAGAGGAGACAGAATCAACATTTCTTGAGCTGGTTTGTGACGAACATTTTATGTGGCTTTTTTGTTTTGGATGTACCAGTCCTCCGTGTAGAGATGTGGATGATCAGTCTCGTTTTAATCAATCTGAAAAACTCCATAGAAATGCAACAAAAATAAATGAACACTTCTCTGACGGAGATGCTGTATATTATTGATTATCTGATTTAAATTGTATTCCATTGTTTATCAGAGAAATTCATTCCTAAGCGTTTTTTTAGGTTTTGTTATCTTTGCCGGTTTGAATCCCCTGTTTGTTCACATTTGTTTGGATATTTGTTTTGTGTGCTGTGTAGTTTGGGTTTAAACTGTGGGGACGTATTCAAATCCTCTGATCCTGTTTTTTAATGTTAAGCTATGGTTTGTTTACTGACTTGTATCAGAAAAGTTCTGACTGATGAGCAGATAAAGATGAGAAATATAAGCGAATACTGTGTGGTTTGTAACGCAGCAACACAAACACGTTTGCTTTGAGCAAAGCAGATTCTTTGTTGGAGAAAGGAAGCGGCTGCAAGACTGTCCATTAGCCATCTTTGATGCCAACGTGTTTGTCACACTCCTGAGTGCTTTTTATATTGAGAATGATTAACCTGGATTCTTGTGACATATTCTGGTGGTTAGAGTATGCCAACAAAGGACAAGAGTAGTTTTAGATGAATAGAAGTACACACTTTTTACCCAGGTTCCTAATAAAGCTTTTTTAAAGATTTTAAGAGCCTCTCCAGAAAGCAGGCCAGAGAACATTATGTTCAGGGTTCTATATCCGTGGGATTAAGAGCAAAAAGATAAAAGGCTGCACAGATGCATGTGCACTCTGTGTTTCATCTTATACTTCACATTTCTTCTTCTTTCAACAACATTTAAACCTGCGATTGCCGTTCTAAAGGGAGTTTCCCCAGCACTATCAGGAATAGTTCACATAAATCTTAAACCTGTTTTCCTTTCCTCTGTATGTATGTATCTGTGTGTTAACAAAATTTTTAAAAAAAGTGAATTTCACCTGCGAGCCGTATCACCTCTACAATAGTTCATCTCCTCATGGACAAGAGGCTTTACTGTTAGCTTTCTCAGGTGCTAGAGTAGAAGCATGCCGGTTAGTATTTGTTTAGGATCAAAGATACGAGACGGAGACAAACAATTAGTTGATGCTTTTATTTATACAGGAACATGTGGGTCTCTGAAGATGAAAAAGAACAATGGATTTTGTGTTTTCTTTTTAAAGCTGAAAGACATAAGGTCACTACACGGGTATGAAGATGATTCCTTTACTGACAGATATTAAAACTGCAGAACACAGTATGATTTAATGAAACGTATCTATGATAGAAATATTTCACCTGATTTTACACATTTGAGATTGGAACCCTTATAAAACCATAGTTTTACCTGAAGTTTGTCAACTTCAATCTTTATATTTGACGTTTTATATTGTTAAATTATAAACCTTGTTTTTAAATATTTTAAAACCAGCTAAGCTTCATGAAGAGTTCATAAAATGAGAGCTGAACCAACTCCATCACTGATACAGATCCTGGGATGTGGTTCAGGACTCCAAAATGATCTTGAAGATCACATTTTAAACAGTTTAAGAAGATTAACATTTTCAATATTGAGTTTTTAATGACTCTGACATCAGCAGGTAGTAAAAGACTTAGGACTGTTTGTTAATGTAATTGGCCATAGTCTTGAGTGACAATGTTTTGAAGAGATTTGAGTTTAAGACTACACACAGATTAGAAGAAAATGAGACCGTCATGTCTATAAATGAATTGCTGAGTGATCACTATCTTATAACGTTTAAATTGAAAGGCTTTTGGGACAGCAACGTTTACATTCCTGTGCATGATCTTCAAAGTCGTGATGGTCATTCTGAAAACAAGATGTTCACATATTAAAAAAGGCTTTAATTATTTGTATACATACTGGCTGAAAGGAACACAACCTTTTTAATGTATAAAACAGAGAAATGAGGCCTACCTGCTGCAGGGTCTGTGTTTCCCAGCAGACGCTGAATGACCTCCTGCAGCGCTGTGCCGTACTCCTCAAAGTCCTGCTCCCTCACAGTGAAGCCAATCTCAAAGGGAGCGCTTATCTACTCAGAGCAGAGGAAGACAATACAGTAAGTGGGATGATTTTGGGAGAGATGGTGTGGTAAAGAATGTGATTTGCCCTCACTGTGATGTGGTTCTCCTCAGCCGGAGGACCCGGCGGCTCCATGAGCTGGCGCCCGACCCTGGAAGACCTCCCTTTGTTCTGTGGTGAGACCAGAGAAATGTCATGGTTATAATCAATTAAGCTTTTGTATGTTCAGATGCACTCAAGGAGATCACATACTTCTCGGTTGCATCAACATGGATTCATTTAGAGAGAAAATTGGTTTAAAATGAGTAAATACAGATTCAAATCAAGCACAGCTATGCTGCCCAATTAAAAAAACGGAATATTGTATTGATTTAAATTCAAATGATATAGTTGAATCAATATGGGGAAGCTTGATAAGCCACATTAAAATGAATAAATAAAATCATTTGTTTCTTACCTGAGGTTTTTGTGAAGGGCTGAGATAGCTGGAGCCTGCGCTGGTCGACTTGCACCACAGAGTCAGAGAACACAACAGAAAGACCATGAAACAGGTGTTTCTTTTCAGAAACATGATGGCATAAAAATCTCAATATGATGATCAGCGGAAATGGTTAAAAGTATCAATCTGATATTGACAGCGAACTTGGTTGTCTTTCCCTTGAAATGACTTTGTTTCGGTGCTTCTGGCTTAATACCTTTTTATACCTTTGCATTTTGGTTTAAGAAGGCATTAAATACATACAGTATCAGATACTGCTGTCATATCCTGGTAGCATTGGACTGTTCAAATGTTTAAATGGATAACAAAATGGGCATTTCTCTGTTGTGACCTGATAGCAGGCCTGCTGATCATCTAATCTGTTTGCGGTCATAGAGAAACAGATAAATGGGACTGATTCAGCACATTATGCATGCCTAAAGGAACATGCCAATATTGAGCTATTATTCCTGGGACAAGAGCAATACACATGCAAATGATTAACAGAAGTATTTACTCAGGCAGACTTTATATCAACACAGTAACACAGTTTGTCAGCATCAGAGCCCATACATGTTTATTTAATAAGCGTAACACTTTTAAACAATCAAAGCTACAAAAAGATGGTGACTTCCCTGCACTACAGAAACATTTCATATCCTTGCTATGAGTTGCTGTTTTCTCCCAAGGGGAATTTGATCAAAACTAAATATTTTAAACTGTGGACATATTGCGCTTTGCCTTTGATTATTACAGAATCAGATTTTTCCATGCTGAAGGCTATGCTCCGTTTTTTTAAAGAAAAAGTTAGAAAGATATGAACCAGATCATGAAACCCTACCAAAAAGATTGAAACACATCAAAGGACAAGGCAGGAGTTCACACAAGGTTAATAAGAATACAACATATAAGTAACAGTAGTATAAAATAGAATTAGGTTAAACGGTCAACATATATAAGTTATTGGGAATATTATAAATATGTCTATGTGCAAGTGTAAGTCCAAAGTAGAAACATACAGTATTGAAACATAATGTACTTAAGTCACTTTTTCAGATACTCCTGATTTACTTGCTACTTCTACTACTCAACAATTCAGAGGGAAATATTGTGCTTTTTACTCCAGTACATTTATTTGACAACTTCAGTTGCTTTGAAGATTTATATAAATAATACAACATATAATCACCCCTTATGTGTAAATGTTAATGCAGGACCTTTACCTGTTAGAGAATAACTCTTCATTGTGGTATTATTACTTTAACTTAATTAAAGGATCTGAACACTTCAACCAGCTCTGCTGATTGAGAGAGAATATTCTTCAGAGCAAAGCAGAGTGTTTACATAGACTGAAGAAAGCAGTGGTGGAAGAAGTACTCAGATCTTGTACTAAAAAAAAGAAATACTCTGTTACAAGTAAAATAACTGCATTCGAAATCTAACTTAAGTACAAGTAGAAAAGTATTGCCATTCAAATATACTTAAAGTAACAAAAGTAAAAGTACTTGTTATGTGTAATGGCCCATGACATTATTGGATTAGGATTATTGATGCATAATGTTTTCATCACAATTGGAACTCATTTGAAATACTTTGCATACGGCTGCTGGATATCTTAACCTAATCTTATGTTGATTATTTACTTATTAGTGGATTTATATTGATCTAATAATCAGAATCCATAAAGTAACTAGTAACTAAAGCTTCAAATATATGTAGTTACGTATAAAGTACAATATTGGCTGCTAAAAAGTTAAGTGTAAGTGATGAAAACTAGCTAAGTACATTTACTCAAGTACTGTACTTAAGTACAATTTTATGGTACTTGTACTCTACTTGAGTATTTTATTTTTTTGCTACTTTGTACTTCTACCCCACTAAGATTCAGAGGTAAATCGTGTACTTTTATTCCATTACATTAAATTGATATACTTTTAGTTATTTTGCTTGTTACTAGTACTCTAGTACTTCTACTACTTCTACTGAAGTACAAAATCTGAGTACTTCTCACACCTCTGCTCAAAGGGACATTTAGCAACCAGGAGAAGGGTCAAGATATAAATACAGACAAATTAAAATAGACTACAGAAAGGAACAAAAACACTTCAAAAAGGACTTAACATCAATAAATAGACACTAGGGTGCATCAAAATACACAGTTCCAGCATATTGATCTGTCTGGGTGCTAAAAGTGTTACCATCCATGAAAAACAATAAATGCAAAAATATTTTTGCGATACGTGGTGATTTAGAGGTGGAACGGCACATCAGCTTTTACGGCAAAAGGGGGTAACCAGCACCCATTGGGGAGCCATGATAAAGCGGTTCATTTTTTATGTCGTTCTCTGGTGCCATCACTTTGGGCTTTGGTTTCAATGTTTGGTTTCAAGAAGAAGAAGAAGAAACAAGCCATGTGACAAAGAAGAAGAAACCCATGTGGCAGCATGTCAAGGTCTCCACGTCCTACGCAACAGCAGACCGAGCGTGCCGCCACACGCTGGAGGCCATCAGTGAGGAACAGCATGAGCAGTGGACACCACGTCCCATGTGCACCCTGCACTGGGACAGCAAGTTGACGCCGATGCTCACCAATGTGCGTCAGTTGGAGGAGCGTCTGACAGTGGTGGTCGGAGATGCGGAGTGGCTCAAACTGCTTGGTGTGCCAGCCTATATGAAGGGAACTGACGAGCCATGCGGAATGATCATCGCCCGGCTGACATGCAAGCTGCTGCAGGAGTGGTCCTGCACCGATCAGGTTGTCAACATGGCATTTGACACCACCGCGTCAAACACTGGCCACGGCAGCTTGCATTGCCATCCAGCCCTCACTGGGTCGACCACTGCTCTGGTCCGGGTGCCGGCACCACATCGGCGAGGTGCTCCTCAGCCACATTTTCACTGACCTCAAGATGGAGACGACACGCTCGCCAGAGGTTACATTGTTTAAACGGCTCCGGGACAACTGGGACCTGGTGCCACATAAGGACAGCGGCCAATTGTCCCGATACATTCCTGATGAGGCCGAACCACCGTTCCTGGGCAAGTTGCGTGCTGAACTCATTGCGTGCGCTGCAGTGCTCGACTACAAGCGAGGTGACTACCGTGAGTTCGTGCAGCTGTGTCTTGTGTATCTGGGTGCAGACAGTGCAGCACACACTCCAGTTACCTTCCAACGGCCGGGAGCACTGCACAAGGCGCGGTGGATGGCCAAGCTGCTCTACACTCTCAAGCTGGCCTTGATGGAGCAGCACATTGCCTTGCTTCCTCAGGGGACCATCACCACGTGGCAGAAGGTGCTGAGGATTCGGGCATTTGCCAACTTCATTTTGCACATCTACGCAACGTGCTGGCTGACCTGCGACACGGCCGTAGATGCCGCATGGAATGACCTCACACTCTACCACCACCTGTACACGTACAAGTCTGTTGACGAGGGCATCGCAGCATCAGCGATCAAGGCACTGGAGCGGCACCTATGGTACCTGACAGGTGAGATGCTGCCCCTGGCACTCTTCAGCACTAAGGTGCCAGTTGGTGAGCGGTGCGCACTTGCAGATGCCATCTTGGAGCACAAGCCGGCTGACATGCGAGCCCCACAGCTCTGCTTTGGCAACCCTCTCACCAACCAGCAGCTTGGCTGACCTTGCCAACCCAGACTGCTGGTTCGGCATGCACCAACTACACATCAATCCAGCGTTTCTCTCACTGGATGTAGAGGATTGGGCTGCCAGTGAAGCATTCCAAATGGGTGCGGTGAATGTACGTGGCGTCAAACTCACCTCAGACTTTGTGGCAGCAGCCAGGAGTGAGGAGCACCTGCAGAATGTGCTGCAGGCAGTTGAGCATGACCGCTCTAAACAGCCAAATCTGCGCCACTGCAAGCGCAAGCTGGACCAGGACTAGGACTCAATTTCATGTTGTTCTTTTTGTTCTTAAAAATAAATGTTGTTCTCAAAAACAATTTCTTGCATTTTTAGAAATTGCCTAGGAAAACACCCAAAACGGCCAATTTTCATATTTTTCACATGCTGTGTTCCATCTATAAATCTCAATGAATTTTCCCAAAACTTTGCAAAAGTAATTTGTATGTGTGTCTGAACAAAATGCAACCCCAGACAGTTTGATATGTTGAGATTTAATTTTTGCATTGCAATTTGATGCACCCTAATAGACACAGAATAATACATAAGCTGAAGAACTACATACAGTAGTTCAACTGGAATTTGGAATTCTGGAGAAAGTATTCTGCTCCAGAACTCCAGAATGTTCCAGACATTCATGGAACTCTGCTGGATCTCCATACCAACTGAGGCCTCTCTGCTGTTCATTTCACACAAACTAGCTGAAGAGAGAGCATTCGAAAACCTACAGAGAGAAAGTTCAAATTATGAACACTAACATGTCTTCTAGACAACACCTCATTGCTGAGATGGAGCTTGTCCATACTTTATCTAAACTGACCCCAGAGGAGAGAAAGGTGGAGGTCAGAAGACAAATGTATGTGGAGCTCAAAGCAGTGGAGATGGAGCGCAGACAAACAGCTGCTCTGGAGACCCTGGCAAAAAGTGAGAGGGACAGAGAAGAGACTCAAAAAGTGACAGAAAGTCTCAAGAAAGTAAACATGGAGAAAGACAGGAGGAGGCAGGAGGCCCAAAAGGAAAGACAGCAGAACCAGTTGAAGCAAGAGAGGCTTCAGTGGCAACAGGTGATGCTGAAGGGGGTCAAAAGCCCAACTCACAACTTCCTCGCTCTGAATGAAGAGCAGGAGAAGAGACGAGAGGAGGCTGACAGCCTGACCCCCGACCTGAAGTCAACTGAGAGAAAGAAGAAGACTCTCCACAACAACTGGGTTGCAGAGAAAGAAATGTACAGTAGGCCTGTCGTTGATGACGCCACCTATCTCCTGTTTGCTGCCAAACCAAACCCAAAGTCTGATGGTATGTATCATCAGGGTTGGGAGGGTTATTTTAAAAATGTAATCTGTTACAATAAAGTTACACGTCAACAATTGTATAAATGTGTCAATAATGTAGTATCCTTATTATGTTATGTCGTTACATGTAATCCAATACTCCACACGCCTGTGTCATATT